GGACTTGAAAGCTGTCAACGCATTGTTCAACCCGGTGGCGAACTCGACTATGTTCGCATCACCTTTTCTCATCGACGGCAAATCAGTAATATCTCTCGAAATTCGGTTAGCGATCGTGGCCGGATTGCCGTATTGTAATTTAAGTGAATTTAGTACTGATTTTGCCGTCGATGCGGTTGCCAATAGCGTTTTGACCTTGCTTTTCGCGTCTCCGCGTACTGCTCTCTGCAACCGAGCGATGTTGTCGCTGTCCGAATAACCGAAGTCACGCGTTGAATCGTGAAAGCGTTTTTCAAAAAGCACCCATTCAAGCGGGTCTCCGGTAAATTCAGGTAATTCCTTCAAGAAAGAGGGCCGTCCCCCCAAGCGCGATTCACTCTCGCTAGCAGCAACGTCTCTTACCATGCGCAATGTTTCTAAAAACGCTTGCCCGATAGAGTTCGTCGGATCTATACCTGCGCTGATGTACGCACTCGATTGATCATTGGTAGCACTGCTGCCGTTTACAATGTGTTGTCTCGGCGCCGTCGTACCTCGAGTCTCGTGTGGCTGCCCGTCGTTGCTTTGTCGAACCACGGGACTTGGCGGTGGGCTACTAGCTGGCCGGCGGCTTCTGCGTACCGGCGATTCGATCGAAGGCTGTTCCATCACGATAGCCTCGATGTCAACGGGTTGCGGGGGGTGTTGATGTGCCGGTTGCGTATGTGGCAGATTTGCTGTCGATGCATCTTGGCCGAGAGTCTTGACAGCGGTCCGCTTCCTTCCCCGGGTCTGAGTCGTTGGTAGCGCGGCCGCCGCGCGCCGTGGCCGCTTTTCAGCCGTCGTGGCTGGCTTCGCGGGAGCTTGTCGTTTTCGTGGCGCCATTGATGATTTTTGTGCACGAGTAAATAGCAACACAACTGATAGTCACTTACACACACCGCGCGAGCACACTACTGTCTGATGATGAATTTAATTTCACTCTATTTATTCGCAATTCCTCACCCGGGGCACCATTTGTTCGGGTTAAGGAAGAGTGAAATAATAATTGATCGATAGAGTGAAGGTGTAATTTAATGTAAAAATAGTGTATCAAACAGTTGAACAAATCAAATACAAAAAAGCTTGGTTGAATCCCGAAGTACAAGAAAGTCTTAACGCTAATACAAATTAATAGGAACGCAAATCTAACTACAGGTTAAGTCACGAAGGAATTAAATCTACCCTAGCAACGGTTACGCTAAAATAGCGAAACTACCCGAATGTTCGAGCGCCCAGTCGAGAGTGAACTCGGCTCGCTGTCCGTTCGACCGCTGAGCGAAGTTTTTTCCTCGTTTCCTCCTTCCACTCCGTCTCCCGGACCAAGGCGTGTCCTGCTTTCCGCCGGGTTTTCCGCTGCGAACTCGCTCATCTTGGCCCTTTCTATGTGGCTCAAATAAGTGAGGGCGTACTTTCCTTCGGCCGTTTGGCCAATTGTGCGCGCGGCCTACCACCCCGCTCCTCGTGCGACGCTGCCGGTCGGCCTCGGTGAGGCCCGATTTGGCCCCCCGTTCCGTAGATTCGAGTGATGGGAGCGACGGGCTCCTGATCTTTGCGGGTATCGGGTGCGACAACCGATGTGTTATCGATCCAATACCCAAACACGGCCGCGAGCTCGCTTATTGATAAGCGCTCACGGCGCGTGGTGGCATGCGTCGAGGGCGGTGATAGTGGCGTTGCGTCTTCGACAACGAGGCAGGGCATTAGCCACTGTATGACGTGGGTATACGAAATTGGATGAAGGTTTGAGAAACTTTTCAGCGGCCGACGTTGTTTTGTGGAGCTGCAACGGCCCTAGGCAAACGAAAGGAAACTCGGGAGCTCCCTCAATGAAGTGGTTTCGCTTCTCGCTATTTATAATTTCGCTGTCGATATACACCTATTTAGTAACATACAATATTCACGCAGGACGTATCAGGGTTTACATACGCAGCACCTATTTCGGTCCGGCGCGTGAACCTCGACGATTCGAGCCTCACCCGCCGCCCTGAAAAGGCGCCCGACCCTGTCGCTCGCTGACCATTTTATTACCCTACGACGGCGCACGGACAGGGCAATATCTGTTTTCTCGGGTTTTCCAAACGCGACCGTAAATCTAAATTTTACTGTAGTTGCGCTATTTCGCCGCGACATCGTTGTCGATCCAAAACGTGCGGCACCCAGGTTCTCTGCCGCACCCTCATTTGCTTTTCCGCATTTTTCTTTAGTTCGTTTCTCTTTACAACCCGCGCGCGCTCCATCGACCACGCCAAAACTCCCGGTAAACGCTTTACACACGTTTTTGGCATGTGTTGGGGAAAACCCAACGTCTTCGAAATATGACGGGCAATAATGAGTGTCTACTCTCGAAACAGTTACTTGTCCGGAACAACTCCAATGTCTAATGTGAGCCGTTATGATAAAGAATCGAGAAGTAAAATAGCAATACCATTTCCAAATGCTTTTTACATTTACAACAAGTTCATGGGAGGTGTTGATTTACATGATCAACATGCAAATCAAGTGCGGCCAAGCATACATTCGAAGAAATGGTCATGGATAATCATAAGATTGGTTCAAGCTGCGGTTACAAATGCCAATGTTTTATATAATGAAGCACTTCCAAACACAGAAATGAAAAACGGAACGAAAGAATTTGTTTTGAGCATCAGTGAAAATTATTTGAATAAAGGTTCTTACACAGTTATTGGAAAACATGAAATTCAATCCGCAGATACTCAACATTCTTGTCAAATCGAAAATTGCGCAACGATAACATGACGATTATGTAAAAAATGCAATTTACACGTGTGCAAAAACTGTTCGGGAATCCCGTGTAAAAGAAAGAAAAAGTAAGAGAATTCACTATATCCGGAATATGAGTTGGTGCAGGAGTAAGGACAAACTATCGGTCGGTTTGAAGTCATAAACTACAGGAGAAGTGACGAGCTTTTAGGTCCGCACCCGTTTTTTATGTAATAGGCATGCTATGTCACTTTTTATGTGTCCTTTGTAGGTATGCAAAAATATATTTGTCTACAAAGACTGATAACATAGGTATCTTGCTTATAGCCTACATTTTTAGTTGTTTCAACAAGAGTAAAACTTTGCTATTTTTTTTATTCGAAAATGATTGACTTGACGAAAAAGTTTCATACAACAAAAAGTTCTTAGAATCATTCGAAGAATACGTGTGAATTTCCCTAAGATGTTTTGGGCTACTTTCGATTTTTTTATTCTGGCCATTTTCCGGAAAAATTAGAAAAATTTCCAGAACGTCCTGGAAAAATTTACATGTATTCTTTGAATGATTCTAAACACTTTTTGTTCAGTGAAATTTTTTCATAAAGCGATTTCTTTTTGAGTAAAAAGTTAGTTAATAATTTATTATATTTTCCTGACTTTCGGACACCATTTTGGATTTGCGAAGTTGATTTTAGATGTTCTTAGAGATACGATTTTAAAGGAAAAATAGTTTGTGCACGATTTCTGGAGATTTTAGACATCTAGCTCAAAGGATTCTCTGTCAAAATTTTGATTTTTCAAAAAAAAATCTGAAAATTTTCACATTTTTTTTTCCTACAATTGCAAGGCTCAAAAAAGCTTTTTTCAGAATTTTTACCCCATATTCTGAAAGCTCATTGAAAAATCTATCAGAAATCATGGTTTGCATGATCATTTTTGCTTGATTTGATTCTTCTATACAGCGTTGAAAGTGGGCATGAGCAAACGTGCACATTTAACGTTAATGGATTAAAACTATTCGTGCGTTTAAATTATTTTAAGTAATAAATAATGATGTAGTAGAATGGCAAATAATAAGAAATTAAGTATTTGAGCTCGTTGCAAATATTTTCGTTTTAGCTATATATGTGGCGGTCTCATGATTCGCTCATCCACATCGAGATGGCATCGGCCAGCCACGAGCGGCAAGAAATACGCTCCCTAAATATATAAGTCCGCATAGCGACTTGCGCACTTCGAGCGTATGAGGCAGATGTTACCGGCCGTCGAGCCTCACTGACAAGTCCAGCCGGTAACATCGGGATGAAACGCTTCCTTCTTTACCGACCGCCCGAGTGTGAGTGGCTAACTCACACTCCGACCAAACCTTTTCTCGAGACTCCTCGTATCAAAGTACGCATGCGCGAACGACGCGGATGTAGCCAAATATATATGCCAGTGGTTAATCAATGACTTGAAATATTTGTCATTAAACACGACTGTATAAATAAAATACAATGATTTATTGTTACGTCATAAATGGTTAATTTAAAAAAATGGTGTAAAAATATAACTACCACAATTTTATTGTAAATAATAGTAAATGTTCATTTTTCGGTTTTCATTTTTTGAATAATACAGTGACTGTACGCACTGTAGAACTCACATAGGGATATCTAGTGATTGGCAAATGTTTGACCTGTTTTATCGACTAACTGCCGCATATTACTAATCTTTCCATTTTCCTCAATTTTGGATAGAAAATCGACAAAAGGAAAATTGTTTCGTAATCTTGGAATAAGGAGCTATCACCCACGATCGATATTATTTCTTTTTAAACAGGAGAAAAATGTTTAATGCATGTTGCGCTCTGTCCGAACGCCCGATTTTTTTTCGCAATTTTCTTAAAAACGGAAAATCCGGAAATAAAATTTCAAGCGGAGACTTAATCCGGAAAAAGGGAGAAAACGTTTTAGCTCATGAAAACTCCGTATGTGTAGCATAACATACATACGTAAGATGACGTAACATTTTTTAAAAGATTAAGTTAAATAATTATAGTTGAAAATTCTCATTTTGTCGATGGGATAGTTTATGCATTATTTGATGATTCTTATGAATATAATTAAAAACACATATTTCATCACTCAAGTAATATGTTAATAAATACACAAAATGTCACATTTTCAAAAATAATACCTAAAAACACATACAAGCAGTCATTATCACGTGATATAAACCACGTGGTATTTTCAGTTTAACTGTTATATCATTAAAGGCGAAAATCGAAATACTATTTTCATATTACGATATGAATACGGCAAGTGGCAATATGTATCATGTAGAAAAAAAAATACAATATACCTACTTAGTAAAGTAGCAGTAAGCTTTAAAACACGTTTGTACAATTTGCAACTTTATAGATCATGTATAATTTTATATTTATTGTATTGAAAAAAATAAAAGTTTCATATACAAAACACCAAATGCGAACAAAACATTGGTAACTATTTCAAGTTGAATACTAATCAGTTATTTATGTCGTAATATTTTAAGACTGATTTTATATTTATTCAGTAAACACATTTTCGCTCTAAGCAAGACGCGTACGTCGCCAAAGAAGTTCTATTGAAATAAAATATATATATCTATCATTTTGGCTAGTGCCTCAACTTTCGTTTGTATAGAATTTGTATAAAACAAATCAAGCATATTAATGCAAGGCAACAATGGACGAAATTTTATTTCGATTATCCAGTCAACTGGAAGCTCTGCAGGTAACAAAGTTCAATATTACGCAAAATACATAGTTTTCTAATTGTTTACGTCTATTCATCACAGATCATCAATGCTCATAAATCATTGACCTTGATTTCAGAACTTGAGAATCATTCCAAGTGAAATTGATATAGGTTTAGTTTTAAAATTAGATTTTCTATCAATCACATTACGATTTACACAAGCCTTTCTTCAATTTGTTGAATTATTATTTAATATTATGATTGTGATTGTAAACATAATGCTTTTATCAGACATTACAGTATTTTTAAATAAATTATGTTAATTATATTGAGAATTTTCGGCTTAAAATATATAATTCATCTTACTCTGCATCATAATTCCTTTAAGTTAATATTTCATTAATTTTCTTGACATTAAGAATAAATACAATACAAATTTCAAAAATAATATAGTAGTCATATAAGTTTCATATTACCTTGAATATGTTGACAGAAAATCATTTTATATTTAATATTTCAAGCTATTTTAATGTTTAAAAATGTTTTAATCACAGATTCAAGCATCTGTAACCACACAACAATGTCAGCAATTAGTGACTACATGGTTATGTCAAGGTCAAAGACTTCTTGAAAGTATTAGTAATGATTTACATGGGCTAGAAGTCAGAGAATTCATTTATCAAGTTTGTTTGTGGTGTCAAAAGCAAATTCAAACATTACAATATAATTTGGCATCGATAAGTTTTAATGCCAGATATGTTCATCAACAATTAAGAGATTTATTAACATTAAAAGGTACACTTTGGTCTTATAGAATAAATTTAATTACTCTCATTCCTTACTTTTTGTTAATTTTTTTGGAAAACAAACAAAATCAAACTTTACATTTTTAGTTTCTAAACGAGAATTAATTTACTTTCTAACTGGCTTACTTGCTGGAACATTATTTGGATATTCATTAGCTTTGAATTGGTATAATCCTCGACATCTTCATCACATGAAAGCAATTGTTTGCCATAATTATGTTGGTATAGAGGTGAGTAATTAAATTTAGTAAAACGTAGTACAATTAAATTTTGCAAACTTTAATTAAAATTAAAATGATAATAACATAGGGGGTGTCAACGATTGATGATTCTGAAATGCCCACGATCAAAAAGTCAAATGAACTATTGATTCAAGTTAAAGCTGCTTGTATTCATGATGTAGATATAAAAATTTGTTCTGGTTATTCAAGAACTTATAGAAGACTTTTAAATTCAGGAGTAAGTTAGTACCTCACATTATATCAGTAAATATTTACTATTTTCTGAAAAATCATCAAACATTGTAGAATTTTTCCATTATTTGAAGATTTGTTTATTAAAATTACAGAAAAATAAAGACTTACCAGTAATTCTTGGTAGAGATTGTGCTGGAGTTGTTGTAGATATTGGTCAAAATGTGATAAATTTTGATATTGGTGATAAAGTATTTTTAGCAGTACCATCATGGTCTACAGGGACAATGGCAGAGTATATTGTTGTAACTGAAAATAGAGTCGCAAAAATGCCAAAAATACTACCTTATGAAGCCTCTGCCAGTTTGCCTTACAGTGGCTGCATAGCTTGGGATGCTTTAATTAATGGTTCTGTTATCAAAGAAGGAAATGCAAAGGGTAAAAGGTATTTTAACGAATTTCTCTTTAACATAAAATACAGAAAGATAACAATAATTTAAAAAATTAATTGTTAGAGTATTAGTTTATGGAGGAACTACACCTGTTGGTTGTATTTTAATACAACTAGTGAAACTTTGGGGTGGTTACGTTGTTGCAACATGCAGATCTGAAGCTGCTCCAATAATAAAGGCTTTAGGTGCAGAAGAAATAATCTTTTTAAATGATTTGGATGCATCCAAAGAATTGGAGCTTCACAATAAGTAAATAGATTTATATTGCATTACAGATTTTAGACATGTATTATTTTCTTTATGAAATTTATGTAATAAATTTAATGTTATTTCATTTTTCGACAGTTTCTTTATGAAATTTATGTAATAAATTTAATGTTATTTCATTTTTCGACAGATATGATGCCATTTTCTACACTGGTGGACAACTTAAACATGAAAGTAGTCTGAAAAAATACATGTTACCTTATGGATCTTATGTATCAACAATACCTGAATATTTAGCATCTGATTCATTAGGATATGTAAGTGGAAGTTTATTTTCAGGGTGTATAAGAATCAAGTTACTGTTTCAGGTAAGGCAATCATATTTAAATACTTTATCAATTTCATTAATGATTATTTTAAATCTTTTTACAGTACTTTTTAGGTGTCAGTACTTATCATTGGAAAGAGGGATCTAAACTGAACAGTTCCTATTTACAATCATTGCAAGAACTTGCTGATGCCAATAAGCTTAAACCAGTTTTGCACAAAATCTATGCGCCACACAACATTGACCAAGCTATGGCTCACATTGTGGATTTTAGTGCAATTGGTAGTACTGTCATTAAGTTTTAATGGCGAATTTTTAAAACATTATATCTACAATAGATTATGTATTTTAAATGAACATATTAATTCTATTAAATTGAGTAGCGTTAAAATAATAGATAGTAATATAAAAATGTATATAACACAGTTAATAATTTTTAATTATGTACATCATGATTTTCCTTGGTTAGATATTGGTAAAAAAGTTGATTTTTAACTTTTTGTTTACGTTTAAATGCACAAAGTACATATTGTTGAATTTTCTAGACGATTCTGATAAAACTGGTATTTTTCAAAATTCACTGCATTCGTATACAGCGAATATTTATATTTCGAATTCAGTTATAAGAATCTTGCAATAAGAAAAAACTATTTTGATAATCTGTTAGACTTTTATAGCGTTGTTATAAATATGAACTTTTATTAAGTCAATCTGTATTAATGCATAATATTTTGCAAAAATAATTAATACAAATAATTGTTATAGTTCAAGTTTTAAGTATATTTTTTAAAAATTATTCATTAATTTAAAAATGTACAAAATTTTATGCAAATATTTTGTATGAACATTTGAGAAAAGCCACACTAAAAATAATTGTATAAACCACTAAATTTTATAATTCATGCAATTAATAATAAAGAAAATAAAGTTAATAATTGTTTTTTGACTACTTTGGTTTTCGTCCTCTAGTACCTCCAGTGGTTTTTCCCTTTTTGGCTGGTGTCTTTTTTTCATCAGCCTGTCATTGAAAAAAAAATAACAGTTAAAAAAAATGTAATATAATAAATATTTCAGTTCTAGACAAGGTTTATTTTACCTTCCTCTTTGTTGGTGTTGGATTAGAATTAGGAAGAACTTTAAAGAATGAATCTATTCTTCCTTGTGTTCCAACATGTCTAGCTTTCAATAATTTCTTTGCTCCATTTCTTACTCTTTCCTCGTTAAACTGTTTATCTCCACATAAAAATTTAACTAAGCCTTCTTCATCTGGATCATTCCATTTCAACTAAGGAAAAAAATATTTATCAAAGTATAAGATTTAATTGAATGTAAATTATATTTCAATATAATTTATATTATAACTTAAATAAAACAGAGTAATTTACATCAATCTCTTGCGTATCTTGAACTTCTGGTTCAATAAAAAGTTGCCTTGCATCTTTGTAATTCCAATCCTCTGGCACTGGAAACTTATTTTTATCCAGATTTTCCAAAATTTTTTCAAGAGATTTATAATTTTTTATTAACTCTATGGCTCTTTTAGGGCCAACTCCTTTTATACTTGAAGTATAATCACAACCCAACATTATACATAAATCTATAAACTTCGAGTTTGTTTTAATTACAATATCAGTTTCTTTTACCTATCAAAATCCATTAGTTTAATCAGACTTACTTCATCTCTAGTTAATCCTAAGCCATTTAATACTTTATCATAGTGTATCTCTTGAATAGGCATTTTCCGAGCTTCACTAAATGTCAATCGGCGTAATAAAACATTACACCCAAAAGTTAGAGCATCCATATCTTCTGTAGCAGTAGCATAAACTTTTCCTGACTTTACCAATACAGCACATTGAGCTTCAGCTTCACATGGAGCCTGAAACAATTATTATATCTTATTTATTGCCTTGATCTTCTGTATTCTATTGACTTACATCAATGTACGGTATCCCCATAAGAGTGAGTAATTGTTTTGCTTCCTCTGCATGTTGTTTTGTTACTTTTACCAATCTTCTATTAAATTTATCAATATCTTCAATATTACCTAAAATGGTTTATTTTCAATTACATTTAATATATTAACATAAGTCATTATGCATAATTTCAATCTACTATTCTAAATTAAAAATAGTAAATTAATTTATTATCAGTCAGTCTATTGTGATTCATCATAATTATATTGTGATTAAGTTAAGTTTTTTAGATGTAAACATTGTATCCATTACAATTTTACCACACATATCTTTTCAGTTAATACTAAATTTGAATTCCTACCTGCTTCTTCAGCAGCTTGTAATTGCTTTTGTGCTTCCTCTCTCCTCTCTGCACGTTTTGCTAATTCTCCACCTTTTAATGTTGGTGGTTTACCATCAAAAACATAAACAGGTTTTATGCCATTTTCAACCAACCTTATAGTACGATAAAATGTACCCATCAAATGACTGAAAAATTATAATAATTCTTTTTTATTATAACAATGATTTTTAACTTTAGATGGTTGGTATTTAGGTAGGTATTATAAGTAATATATTAAACTTGTACTATAAATACCTTGTTGTTTCGCCGTCAACAGAAGTCAATTGAGCACCTTCTGCCCTCACTGCTATTAAAAATTGATACAAACACATAGAAGCATCGATGGCAATTTTTCGACCTATTAAAAGGGAATGCTTTGATTAAACTATTATTTTCGAAAAGAATAATCAATATTTACGTATTTACCAAAAAGATGTTTTAATTCGCATTCTTTAATAGCTTCTGGAGCAATATCAGCAATTAATTTTGCAAGTCCTAGAATTCCCATCTTTTGACTGTCTAAATGAATTAATTTTGAAATAAATCCAAGAATATTTTTCCGAAGGTTATACTCGATTCTTCGCGAATGAAAGAAGAAAGCCGGCTGTAACAAACACTTTCCCGCCAGAAGCATTCGAGTTTCGACTAATAATTGGGAACACGGTATCCTCTATACTAACCTCGTATATATATATATATATATATATATATATATATATATATGTCGTATGCAGGGGAGTCATATATCTGTCATACTCATACATGTTAAGATATTACTTGGCGGAAAATTAAAAACTCAAAATTAAAAATTCAATTTTACATAAAAACATCAATATTTTTAATTAAATCAATAATTTTAATGAATTATAAGAACATCGGATCATTTTAAAAAATGGTTTAATTTTTTTATTAAATTGGAAAAATGTCTATGTAATAATTAAATAAGAGTAAAACAGGAATCTTTACAGTCTGTCTTCCACGTCCACTATATAAATTTATACTTACGAAAACTATGTACGAAATGTTTACAAAAATAATATATAGCAAAATAGTTATTGTAACATTTTGTTACAATATGTTAAATACATTTTGTTAATATATATGAAAAGATATATATAAAAATTATTTTTAAAATATAATACAATAAAATATAGTAAAAAAATATAATAAAATAACCGATTGAAATCGAAACCGAAAAATAACTGAAAAATTATATTTGTTTGCTTTTTATTTTTTTCATTTTTTAAAGATTTCTTTCTACAGAATTTTAAACAAAGCTTTTCGGTTTTCATTATTTTTGCGTGTTTTAACATATTAGCAAATTATAACTAGAATAAAAAATTCTTAAACTTTAATTTGGCGAACGTAACAAGCGTGCTGTAGCAAATGTGATAATTTTAACGAATTTTTCTAAAAGCTGAATGTCGTGCCATTCTTCTTGATGATTTTTTTTAAAAGCTTCTAATAGACTATATAACTATTGCAAAAAATATTTTGTGGGTTTTTTTAAATAAAAAATTTCTGCGTGATTTGAATAATCTTTATATAAAATATGGGCAAATTCACAAAACTTTTAATATTAAGCGAGACGGATAATATGATCAAATAATAACAGTAAACGCAATAGCATTATTCAGCCTCATTATTTTTCCTGTTTCAGTGGATATATATATATATATATATATATATATATATATATATATTAACATTTTATATGTTTTAGAAGTATGAAATGATAATTGATGTATCCAGGAAAAATTTTGCAAAAACTAAAATATGGTGAAAACGTGTGCGAGTTTTAAAAAATTACTAACTCTTAACAATTTTTTTAGAACGCCCTTGAATATTTCGAGTCACTTTTTGATTTTTCAAGTACTTTCCTACATATATTATAGCTGCACCTATAAGGTCGCGTATGTGCTTTGTTTCATTCAAAAATTACAAGGCTAAGAAAACGCGATAAGAGATTGTTGGGACGACAATCTCAAAGGAGTGGGAGTAATCTAGTATATTGGTCCGTCAGAACGTAAAAAAAAAAGATCAAGTCGTCGCCGCGCTGATAAACTTGCGAAATACGTTGACCGTCGTTAATTGGAAAACTGTTCTGCTTGCGTTTTTGGTGCTGTGGTTTTCCTCAAGCTGTGGGCAAATGCCAGAACACGAACTTGGGTTGGACCACAGAGCGTCAACTCCCAACCAAGTTCAATTTTCTATATGTCCCCCATAATATACTCCTTTCGAAATTTCCTGGCGTTCAAGAAACGGGTCCTTTATTTTCTGGAATGATGATTGGCTTGGGGCCTAGAGTTGTTATTAGAAGATTGAAGATCAACCTGCTTGGAGTCAAGAGAGAAGATTCAAGAATCAAGAGACGGGTCCCAGTTTTCTTCTGGAATGTTGGTTAGGCTGTGCTCGAAGATTTGGTATCTTGGGCAACCTTGGAGCTATCATTGGTTGAAGACGGTTTAACCCGCTTAGTTCAAGATTTTCTTATTGTCGAGGACGACAATTTTTCAAAGGAGGGGCTAGTGTTACGAATGCGATTTATAATATCGAATTCGTACGTTTGTATCCACGGCAACGTCAGAATAAATATTGTTATTTAGTTAGTTCACGCCTGAGCGTCAAATTGAAAGCATCACGCTCGTGTTTCAATAAAGTTTTAATTTGTATTATTTACGTATTTTTATTGATTATACGAAAACGTAACAATATGATAAACAATTAATATTAAAAGTAAAATATTAGAAATAATTTATTTCCACAAAATAGTCATCAAGATCTTACGCAATTTCTTACACAAGTTCTTGAACAAGAACTTATCCATTGTGAGAGCTGCGAAAAATGAAAAACACTTACTAGAACTTGCCTAAGGACTTGGCTAAGTTCTTACAATATTTCTTATGCAATTTCTTACTCAAGTTCTTATTCAAGATCTTTACTTCAAATTTTCACGAGGGTATCCAATCAAAATATCATTATAATTATCCGTTATGAAGAAATAAATATTTAGGATGACGTGTAGGCTCAAAAAGTACTACCTTCTGAAAAAGGCTGTACCTATAAGCAAGGGGTATTTTTCAAATATACAGTAATGTTAACTACTTTAACATAGACAATACCTTCCTATAAGAATGCCAGTGTATAAGTGAAATGATAGGAATGGCTTATTTTTTCAATAACTATATTTAGAATAAAAAAATTTACTTCTAATTAATAGTTGGCATTGACGGTTGTTTAAAATAATAATCCATTCCTATTAATACAGCTCTTATAAGAGTATATGCCTTTACTATAATAAAAGTGTACAGATCTATGTTATCGACTGATCTTTCAGATGCATATATATGTATATGACTGTAGTGAGAAATAATATTTATTTTCTAACGGATGGTTATAATAATATTTTGATTGGCTAAAAAACACTGCGTGTAATTTTTGCTAACAATTGAACAGATTTATTTCTCTCAAAACTTTATTAAAACTCTATAGCAGATAAAGTTATCGATAATCTGTAAGTGATCAACTTTGATAATTTTTTTATCACTGAAAATGAAATTACGTGGAGTTATAAATAATTTTTGCTATCTTTGTTAACCACGCGCAGTTTTCTATAATTTTTTATGGTCGATTTCCCACTGAGTTCCTTTAGCTGTCATTTACCCGTCACTGGACCTCACAATTTTCGTAAAGCGGGAGCGAAAATTGTGAGGTCTGAAGGCAACTGCTGGAAGCTTTGTGACAGAATCGCCTGAACCTACACGTGGTTGACGAATTGCGATGTGTATGTCATCGTACCTAACCTTATTTTATAATATAATGTAAGCTTTGTATATTGCAATCAAGATTTCATTAAAAAAATTATATGATGGCTGATTTAATTAAAACTATCGAAGATGATCAAGAAGTCCCAGATTTTTCAGAACCATCTGATGAAGAGGACGATGTAAGGTTTTAATTTTTATTTGTAAAAATTATGATTGTTTTTATTACAGCGTAACTGCGATTCTTGAGTTGCATTTTGGATTGCGGATAATTGTTTATTTTTAAAAAATGTTTTAGTTCCAACCACGTAAAAAAGAGAAGAAAAAAGATAAAAAAAATAATATCGAAGACTTTCAATTTATAACTAGCATAGAAGATTATAACAAAGATACTTGGAATGACCTTAGCAAATACATCAAACGAAAAGTTAAAACGAAACTTGATGATAAAATTAATAAATTTCGAAGTTTACACAATGAACAGGTAAGGCTACTTATTGCAATAATGTTGTAAAACACAACGTAGGTCGCATTTAATTTGTTGTCATTGACTTGGGTTTTTAGAATGATTCAGCAGGTAATCCTATAGAGATGGAGAGTGCAAATGACATATTTGTTTCAGAAGAAGATTTAAGAAAAGGTTAGTTCAAGTTATGCATATAATAATTCAATTACTTTAATACACTAATTTGCAAGTATATTACAAATCTAGCTTCCAAATTCTTTCTTAGATTGCTTTTCATAAAATAAACCAAATTCACTTAAAATCCTTAAATGTATTTTCTGTAACTGTTACAATTAAATGAGAAAATTTCAGACTCCATCAAGACCAAGGATAAAAAATTTCAAAAGCAAAAGGCTGCTAAAGACGAAAATCATCTTGTTGAATTTGAAGAGTGCTCCAGTTATGACATATCAGCATCATTTCAACAAATGCACTTGTCAAGACCATTGTTGAAGGTACAATCACTCACTTGAAATATCATTAACCATTCACTTTAAAATATTATGTTTAATTCATGTAACATTATACTAATGCACCAAATGTTCTATTTTAGGCTATTACATCTATGAACTTTGTTAGTCCAACGCCTATTCAAGCTGCAACTATCCCAGTAGCATTAATGGGCAGAGACATTTGTGGTTGTGCTGCTACTGGTACTGGTAAAACAGCAGCTTACATGTTACCTACACTTGAAAGATTATTGTACAAGCCAGTTGATGCAACTGCAGTTACCAGAGTTTTAGTTCTTGTACCTACTAGAGAGCTAGGTGTTCAGGTTTACCAAGTAACCAAACAATTATCTCAATTTACTGAAATTGAAGTTGGATTATCAGTAGGAGGTTTAGATTTAAAAATTCAGGTGAAAGAAAACTTAAAATATGATTTGAGTTATAACTAAGAAACACTAAATCTATGGTTTTTCTTTTAATTAACTTTAATGGCTATTGCTATTTCATTCTACAGGAAAGTATACTTAGAAAAAATCCAGATATTGTTATAGCAACTCCGGGTCGACTAATTGATCATCTTACAAATACACCGTCTTTTTCATTAGATACAATTGAAGTCTTAATTTTAGATGAGGCAGATAGGTAAGTAACATTGATTTTTATAAGTTGGTTAAAAATAATTGCTTTTAATTTACCAATCTCTAATCACAATTGCTTGCAGAATGTTAGATGAATATTTTGCAGAGCAAATGAAGCACATAGTTAGACAATGTTCGCGATCTCGTTCAACGATTTTGTTTTCTGCAACTATGACGGAAGAAGTGAAAGATCTCGCTGCAGTATCTCTTAATAAACCTGTTAAAGTGTTTGTGAACAGCAACCAAGATGTTGCTTTCAATTTACGTCAGGAGTTTATAAGGTGAACTAAATTATTTATTAATAAATGTTAAATGGCCACAGTGTAAATAATGTATATTTAATCCTTGATAAAGGATTCGAAAAGAAAGGGAAGGTGACCGTGAACCCATATTGGCTGCCTTAATTTGTAGAACATTCCATGATCATGTTATGGTTTTTGTACAAACAAAGAAACAAGCCCACAGGCTACATATTCTTTTAGGACTATTGGGAGTCAAGGTAAGTTAGCCTAATTTTGCTTCTTTATTTGGCGGTATTGCTTTCAAAAATGGAATTGTTTGTATCAAGGTCGGTGAACTCCATGGCAACTTGACGCAACCACAGCGTTTAGAAAATTTGAGGAAATTCAAAGACGAAGAAATTGATGTATTGTTAGCAACAGATGTCGCAGCAAGAGGTTTAGACATTAGCGGAGTAAAGACAGTTATCAATTTTGTCATGCCAGCCACTCTTCAACATTACATTCACAGGTAATATATTTTTCGACACTCCGTGCGCAAAGTGCGTCTTTCCCGCACGCTCGGCAGAAAACGTGCGTTGAAAATCGCACTTTCCACACGTCGTATCAAAAAATACGGTACAGCACATGTTCGGGAAAGAGTTTCTCGTCTCGTGTACCCTTCCACCCTCGCTTCGCTCAGGCGTAAAAGCCACACGAGACAATGAATCTACTTTCCCGCACTTGTATCGTAATGTACTATTTAAATAGTATCCAAGTATGTATTCTAACATATCTAACTACAATTATACTATATAAAATAGAGTAGGACGAACTGCTAGAGCTGGCCGAGGTGGAGTTTCCGTGTCGTTAGCTGGCGAACAAGAACGTACTTTAGTCAAAGATGTCATAAAGCACGCCAAAAATCCAGTCAAAAATCGTATTATACCTCCAGATATTATTGAAAAATATAATAGAAAACTGAAGTCACTTGAGGAGAATGTAGAAAAGATATTAGAGGAGGAAAGACAAGAGCGGGAAATCGCAAAAATAGAAAATCAAGCGAAACGTGCAGAGAATATACTTAAAGAATCGGATAAAAAAGGTGAAAGATCATGGTTCCAGAGTAAAAATGAAAGACAACAAGAAAAAGGTAATTTTTATGAAAATATTTGGAACTCTAAGTTTCAATCGATAATAAAATAAATGACTGTGACATTATTTTTTATAAAAGTGATATCCATTTCATAATAAAATATTTTTATGTAAAAATAATTAATTTGTAACTGTGTGTTTTAGAAAAATTGAATTTAACTGAAAAACAAAATAAAAACGCAAAAGATAAAAATATGAAGAATCACAAATCTCTCAAAATGGTAGATGAAAAAGCAAAAAAATCTAAAAAGATCGCTCAAAAGTTGGATCCAGCTGAAGAGCGAACTATGAAAGAATTGAACAAAGTAGCAGCTTATCAAGCAAGACTAGCGAAAAAAAATAACAAACAGAAAAAAATAAGAACAATGATTGATGACTCAGAAAGGAATCACGATCCTAAAAAAGGCAAGATTTGAATTAGAATATGTACTAATTTTTCTTATTCGGAAATTTACTCAATTATAATATACTTGCAGCTCGAAAACGAAAGGCGTCTTCTTTTGCAAATGACTTGACAGATACTAGCCGCAAAAATGTAAAGAAAATTCGATATGAGTAAGTATTGTAATTTGATGATGTACAATAAGCGCCCTTTGTAATGCCATTGTAGGATATATTTATTACAATAGACAAAACAAGCTACATAAAACAATAGAAAATTTTCTAATGATTTTATTGATCATAATAGATAGTTCCATAATTATTTTTCTAGTCTTGTATTCTACAAAATATTTATTTTTCTTTCAGAGCAAATGTGAAGGGTAAGAAAACGAATAAATCATCAACTAAATTGAAATTCCAAGATGGAAAATCTAAAAAACAAAAAATTTTTAAAAAGAAGTAATTATTACGTACTAGCATTAAGTTTTGTAAAATAAATCACATTTTAAATAAAATTGCAATGTTGATATTTTTACTCATGAATATATCATTACCATAAATAAAAAAGCGTAAGTCACTTGTTCATTTATATATATGATTTCAAAAAATGATTGTAAATAAAAAAAGAAGAAAAATAAATCTGCAGTAAAATTATTATCGAAATAGTAATATTTAAAGTATTAAATTTTCACTAAACTGCGTAATATAAGGTTTCATTTTATGTGGCATTATGTTATAAAGAATAATTGTTATTCATGGATTGTAACTGACAGAAAGTGCAATAACAAGTTATTATTGTAAGAACCGGATACTTTTTTTAAAAGATCTAGAAACTTTTTCATTATACCATCCTGCTTTACGTTAAATTTCTCCAAAGAAATGTAATTATTTTCTCGTTTTCTCTTGTTTTATAGTACTTTTTTTCAGTCAGTGAATTCATTCCGATTAAAACTTCGAATATTTTATTACAATTTTCAACTACACATGTTTGGTAAAAATTTTTTGTTTGCAATTTTTGTAAACAACCATATATTTTAAACTATGTGCTATTAAAATAATAAACCAAACTTATGATATGATATTTTTATAAATATTATTACTACGTGAATTCTCATCGTGTATAAATGGAACAAACAGTATTCTAAAACCGTTTTATCAAAATTTTTATAATTTCGAATTAAAAAAATAGTTATGTGAATCTAACTATTTTATCTTTCATCGCAGTAATTTTTATATTAATACTTCCAAAAGGTTGAATAAAAATATTAAAATCCCTTAAACATACGTAAATTACATATTCATTATAAATTTTGGAACTTCTGATCTCATAAGATATGTCTGATATTATGTCATTATGAATGTTGATGTGAAGTGAATGTTAAGTATATATTTTATTTTTGCTTGATTAATAGATAAATTTCATAATAATTCGAATGCATACCTGTACCATCCAGTGAGAAGCTCACTGAAAATGAAATACATACAATACCAATTATTGTACAATACAAATTAATCACAAGATTTATATGCCGTTACCCCATTTTGCAGATTCTATTTTCTAAATTAAATACCAAATTAAGTACCATTTTATCTTAAGGGGGTTAGTCGATTGCACTTTCAAAAAATCGATTTTAATCAAAAAGAAGCCGAAAACAACGAAATTGCTGCAAGGAATGTACTTTATAGAGTTGGAATCAATGATTGGATGTAAGTTGAAAAAATTTTTTCGTCACTTTGTTATAGTTTTTAAGTTTCAAACGTGTTTTTCTTGAAATCACTTTTTCAAAGTGCGTATCCATTGTAACTCAAAAACTACTCAATCGATTCTTTTCAAATTAAGTATATATTCTACGTGAAAACACGTTTTTTTGGTTCAAATGACTATAAAAAATATAAAAATGAAAAAATAACAATTAAAGACCGTTAGGGGGTGGCTTTAGTAACGCTTTAATGAAAATTGTTCGTTTTTTTTATTTCAGATAATTTTGGCTGAGATACAGTGGATATCGCAAGCAAATCATCTTTCTTGAAAAAGCTCCATCACTGGCATATTTTTCAATTTTTTTCTATTGAAAACATTACAGAATATTATTAAAACCATAATTTATAATGTATAAAACGTTTGAATAAATCTGCTTTATCCATATCTCTAAAAAAAATTTGCAAAAAAGTAAAAAAGTACTAAAACTAATAACTCCCCTTAACAACTATTTTAATAATACAAAAAACGTAACATTACCTAAATTATTCTAGTATATTAAAGTTGCCTAAGAAATAAAGTTTCATATTTTTAGTTATCGCTAGTAATTTCTATAAGTTGAATAGTTCGTACAGATAGTTATTGGTGTTAAAGTGTGATTATCAGTGTCAAAGAGAGAACTATTGTCTTAAATACATAAGTGACTGATAACTTAATCTTTGTCTTCCTTAGACCTATCATTAATTCTATAGAAAAATATTATAAAATTATTATAATATTATAAAATTTAAAAAATTATTTTACTCGCTAATTTTTTATTATAAATACAATGAAAACTAAAGTTCGTAGTAATCAAAAATTAAAGTTGTGACAATATGTTAATTCAATGCAGAATTATGAATAAATCCTAATGTGTTAAAATGTAAGGCCATTATTAAATCAGTATAAAATATGATGTAAACATTGTAAGAATGTAAGGTGAAAAGTAAAATAAAATAACATTTTTAAATTTAGAAATAAATTATTAAATACAATAGAATTACGTAAAACTATAGCCCAAAACGTAAACTTCGACTAAATTATGTTTATTCAATAAATCTGAAAAAAAACCCAAAATAAAGTAATCTTAAATACGACGAAATAATGAAGTTCTCGATTTAATGAAATGTTCTTTATTTCTTATAGAATATACAAAGTAAGTTTTAATTAATTAAATTAACAAATTAAATTATTTTTAGAAGTATATAATAGAAAGTTTGTCAGAATGATGATACTTTATTTTGTTTTGTAAATTAGGCTATCAATGCCCATCACACTGTAAATAAAATCAACTTTACTGTATAGCAATAAACAATTGTAAATAAAAACAAAATTATCGCTTATTTCACGCTTGTCCAAGTTCGGAATAATGTACACACACTGTTCCTCGTTATCAGTTGTTTTTAAATAAAATGTATAGCGATTTCAAACCAAGATGTGATGAGTCTCACTAACATTTTTTTACACAATGCAATGCTAAACTGCCACCAAGATTATATGAAAGATAATTTAATGTAAAATATTTTTTATACAGATATTGTGAAGCGTCATTCGATCTCATTTAAAGTTCAGACTTTCAGCAAAGTTTTGACGATCTGCATATACTGCTTCTGAACTTTCAACTTGGTTCAAGCTTACGCTTCATCTTCGCCTTAAAAGTTAAGATTTCTTTCGTACATGAACGACTCGAATATTTTATAAATTGTATTATATAACCAAAATAATCTGTTTCTAATTCGTGAGATATTCACACAAAGTTTGTATCGTATAATGACGTTATCACATCTTTAATCTTCAATTTTTTTCAGCAGCTTGAATTCTGTTTATTTTTTATTTATTTTTGTTTGTTTGAACAGCTCATTTACATGCATATTTACCCATCTTCTCAGTATCTTTGTGTGGTTTCTTTTCCGGCGGTTCATCAATCTAAATTATTAAAGGAATGTTTAAAATCTCGTTATACAAAAACATCTCTATTTCTACACAGCTACAAAATCGAAGAATTAAATGTTCATATCAGATACTTACTTCGTCTACGAGTCCAGGTAAATGAATCCTTGTTTCTGATGCCTCTGATGGCTGAAATCAGTTGAGTACTTTAATAAAGTTTCAAATGTACTTATAATAAAACATGCGATTGAAGGATAACGCGACTTAGTATATCATGCAGATTATGACATAAATTTCGATAATACAAATTCAGACAACGTCATACATCATATTTTAGTGCTATTACCTGAGCATCAATACATTCCTTTGCGCCAACATGCAGCTTGAAATAACAGTTGTGATTGCTCATGGTTTTTATTTTAGTTATTAGTTACTTTGTTCCCCAATTGGAAACGATCAAGTTACTGATCAATGAATGAACAAGTACAAATAATCAATAAATGTCAACTTAAATTTTAGAGCAATAAATTCAACAGTCAATGATGGATTAGAAATTATTGAAAAATTAAAAACGAATTAAAATTACAGGTGCACAATATCATTAAAATCTTTGTAAAATATACAAATTTTAAAATATTTTACTTAATTTTTTAATTTTTGATCGCTGATTGAATGTTAGTAATTACAAAAAAACAATACTAACTTTTCGATACAACTTTAATTTGAGCTTAAATCATTTTTCAAAGGATTGTATTGGCATAGATGGGTGTTTTTATATTGGTTAGTCATATAATAATAAGTAAATAGGTTTATATTTTAAAAACGGGATTGGTGGCGAAAGATTTCTCATATAATAGTTTAACAATTGAGTATGATAATTCAAATCTTCGTAATGTAAAGTTTTATACGATTTCTAAGCTAGCATATATAAATCTATGAGATCATAAAAATAAACAGCATATCTAAAAGGTATGGAATATTTTTTACAGTGAGAAATTATTTCTATTAGAATAATAAGTTCTGAATAATAATGAATTATAAATTTAATAAATATATTAAAAAATAAATAAAAATTCATATAAATTTGTAAATTTAAAATAAAAAAAAGAAATATATTAAATATACCGTTATTACAAGTGTAAAGAGGAACCTACATGTTGATATTAAGCGCGAAAACAAACCGTTCGTTCATTGATTAGTTTGTCTATTTCGAAAATAAGAAAAGCATCGAACTAATCTTACCCTTGCATCAGTTTCGTTTGGTCCAACGCCAGTTTCCTTTTGTTTGGCTTTCGTCTTTCGGGTAGTTCTTTCATTTGATACTGAATTTATACTCGTCCCTTTTCCCTTTGGATTATTCATATTAATTTGAAATTCCTCAGGTAAGTAATTTTTAGTGTTAGATATGATTTCGTCAGCTTTCTTGAAATACATAGTAGGTATTCGAGTCTCGCTCGGAAATTCCTTCATATCGAAGTTTGTCGTTTTCACATAAATGACGTTCATCGCCATATCGCAAACCGCCCACAGTTTCTGCAGAAATTCATGTAAAAAATTATTAACATTGAAAATGTTAAAGGATTTCTTTATTTTTTATATTGTATTGATTCTTAGACCGAAACTCGTATAATTTTTACTTACGTAATTCATATCTTCATCATCAGGCCTTAATGCATCTTTATAATTTTTCATTTTTTCAATGAGATTTTTATAGAAACCAAAGCAGTAGTATTCATTTTTCATAATTAGATGTTCTAAGATAAACCATAAGCACTGCTGTACAACTTTCAAGTGACTAACCGACGTGCAAGTAACAAAGTCGGGATCATGAGCAAGTATGGGAACCGCAAAAACTAACATATAATCCGGTAAGATATGGGGAAGTTTGCCTAAAATATAAATAAAAATATTTTATTCATTCAGCCATATTCATTTTTCTTTTGAAAATATAATTATTTATAAATATACCCATAGCTCTCTCTACTGTTCCTAATGACAGTGTTTTTACGTAATCCCTTCTTTTGTTGATATCTGTTTGCATGAAATTCTTTAATGTTTGTTTCAATTTTTTGTTCTGCTCCTTTCCTCCGAGAGCATAATAGCCCATAAAATCTAAAGGTAAACATTTATTTGGTATTCCTCTGCCAAGTCCTTTATGCAGTTTAGTACTGAATGCTTCTCTAACTTGATAAACCTCATCCACCATCAGCTGAGATAAATTGTAAAATTGTTCTGCTGTATACTGATCGCCGACTCCTTTCTGTTCGCAGATTTTCAACATGGAGCATCCAGCTTGAAGTCGTAACCAGCTCATTTCTGCTTTGCTTAAACGGTTTTGCTGAAGCAAGTCCCCTTTGTTAACTATAAATGCATTCAACATTCTAAAAGTTTTCTGAGCTGATAAAACATCATTTTTCAATCCTAAAAGCCATCGAGCCATGCATTTGAGCCCTTCAAGCCTGCATCGAGTTTCTTCAGGAAGTTCATCTTCTCTGCACCACTCTGCATCACCGCTTTGTTGCTGTTCACTGCTCTCTTTAACAAGTAATTCTTTAACAATCTTCCGAGAAACCATATTCTTTATTTGCAGATGGTACTTTTCCGGCAGATTGTATGCTATGTGTCCAAGAGCAACAATAGCAGTGCGGTAATGTTCCGATGTTGGAGAAAGAGCATTTTTTATTTTATCTATAATTTCCGGGAAAATGGTGTCATGATTGTCAACCATATTGACGTACAAACATCTAATAGCTTGTTTTGCTTGTTTTGGCGTTCCGGATTCTGCAAATTCCTTACACTTTGGCGTTAACTGCGACACTATGTCTGGTGATACCTCACATAAAGGCTTGTACTTTCCTAAAAATGTGAAAATTGAAAGAACAAGAGGAGCAACCATTTCATCATCCAATTCCAAAATTTGTAAAAGCTGCTGGAGAATATCTTCGTGTAAAAAATGCGGTGCAAACACGAAAGAAAGCATCTAACAACGAATAAATAAAGATTAATTATGTTCACATTATTCATATATTATTAAAATAGAAAGAATTAAAAATACTAACCAGTAATAATCTGAGGCCTTTTTCCCCAGCATTGTTAGGATTTAATCCAACTTCTTCAATAACATTCCCACTTTGAAGACAATCTAATACATACTTTATCAAAACCCTAATAGCTTCTTCATCGATCATCACGGAACTAACTCTTTCCAGCAGCATTTTTATAGTATTGTAATACAAATTCGTCATTACAGGTGGGCCTAATTTTTTCAAAACTGCGCTGATAGCTTCTGCACAATCTTTACACGAAACTGTTGACTGTAAAATAGTCTCCATGCCTTGCAGAAGAGCTGCATCTTTTTTCAAATGTCCACTAAATTTTTGTAAAAATTCTTGCACTTTTGTGGGGTCAGGAAGGAAACGAGATATTTGTAAAATCTTTTGAGACTGTTCAGGACTAACTCCAGTTTCCGTTCTCTTAATTATCTCGATCCATTCAGATACTGATCTTCTTACTCTGTAAGAATTTCAATAGATTAATTAGCAGTTATAAACGTGGTCATTTAAATAGATTAATGATAAGAAATGTCATAACGGAAACTTACGCGAGTTGATGTTTTTGTAGTTCAACAAAAGCTTTTGAGGCATAATCATCTATAGTACCCAATAAATGATAAAGTTTCTTCATTCTGTCTTCTGCTGGTGATTGATAAGGCACTAAACATGTGTTTAACAGTCTTTCTACTAGCAATCGATCTTCCATTCCCGCCATATAATAACCATGCAAAATTTTGTCTTTAATCCATGTCACAGCTTTCTTTGTAGCTTGTGGTACATCCGCATCGTTCAAGTGCTTTTTGTAGATCATGGCTAAGCCGGTCATTGCTTCTTTTCTAATCTTGAATCTCTTGTCCAAAGTTCTTTCTTTCACAAACTCCAGTAAATCTTCACTGTCGGACACTACTTCAAAATCTTTACGAGCCGTTGTTACAATTGCCATGACAACCTCGTATCGTACATTCTCATCAGCATCGTGCTGACGCATTTTCAGGGTATCGGTAATATCTTTTCTAAGTTCTGGATGATTAAGAAGAAAATGCATCGAGTACTGCACACACTTGGTACGTATAGCTACACTTATATCATTGAAACGCCCGAGAAAAGCTCGCCAAAGTTGCGGATGCTGCACTGCCAGTTGCGAGCCTTTCTCGGAAAACATTCGAGCAAGTAAAGCTACTGCACCAAGACGTTCTTGTTCATTTGAAGACTTCAGTTTACATTCAAGTTGAGGCAGGACGGATAGCAATACACTAGGGCATATATGATTAAGCTCGTAAATTAAATCGTATACTTTGCTGGAAATTTGAAGATTTTTTTCCACTTTGCCCAAAATTAGCACATGATTGAAAAACTGCAAAAAAAAAAAGTTAAAAGATTAGAAAAAATGACCATAATAAAACATCTTTTACTATGGACAAATTTAAAGATTACTTACTCCTTGAATATATGTTTCTAGAGTATCACTGCATTTTATTACAAGTTCTTTAGCTAGTGCGTAAGCATTTTTTTTCTGAGTCTTGTTGGGTTCAACAATATTTATAAGAATAATATCTAGCAGTTCATTACTGACAACGTCAGATTCAGTTATAAGTGGACATAATACATCAAGCATAAAACTTTTAACCTTTCCAGAGTGTTCGTCACTAAAAATTTTGATATTGATTTTATTTTCATGCAGTGTTTTTCAAGTGGGAAGCTTACCAAATAACTTTTACTCACTTGACAATTTTAAACATCAACGAGAACAGAGCACAAAATATTTCTTGACAGTCTTCAAGCTCAAAACACATATTAAAAGACTTAACATAAGCCAAATTTTCAAGAAGATAAAAATATCTCTTAAAAGCTGGATCTTTTGGATCTTTGAGACCAGCCAACTGCTTTATTAAAAATAAGAATATTGTTTTGACCTGAAATAAGTGAATTTGTATATAATTATGCAATAGATATTAACAAAAATATAAACAATCAATAGATATTGTACAACTTACTTGATCTGGATCCTTATATGGAGCTTCTGGAGCATACACACGAAGAACATCAGCAATACAGCATGCAATAAGTAATTGAACATCTTTGCTTTGATGCTGTAAGAAGCAGTCTTCTGCCAAATGTAATGCTAATGGAATATATTGTTGATACATTCCTTCATCTTGACCCATAGCTTGCAAAGTATGGGCTAAGGTCTATTACAAATAGTAAGTTATTTTAAATCAGTAAAAAAGATTAAATGAAAATTGATGATATAAACATTACCTTGAGTCGTCTTATTAACTCATCTGGCCCAAGATCATCTGTAACGGGTCTACACCCTTGTGGATACACAATTTCTGACATTTTCTAGGTTTATTTATTATATCCAACCAGTTAATTAAATTAAGTTTATGTTGTTTTAAAATACTTTCCAAACTCTGCAAAAACAAATAATTGATGACATATTGCTAATAACTTATATAGATTAATAGTTTATTGCGACTGTGAGTTTGTTTAACATTTTAAAAAATTCTTCAGAAAATCAAAGGAATTTACATTAAGAGGTTCTATAGGTAGTTGAGTTACACGATAAAGGCCTTGGTTACAAAGAGTTACTCCAATCAAGCGTATGGTATTCGTGAAATGGAAATGTCACCACTCAAGAAAAGCGTTAAAAACCCGCGGGACTCGCCGTCTCGAATTAGAGGTTATGTAGTTTACGCCAATTTCCGAAGCTTTCTAACGTATATTGACACAATAACTTTGTCAATAGCGTAGATGTAAAAGTCACAAAGGGCGCGGGTCGGTAATGATGTAATAATTAGTGGATATACAAGAGCATATTTACCTGAGGATGAGCATAAGGGAAAAGAGTGATGAGCCTGCGTTGCTAGAAAAGTCTGACTTCCGACCGCAAGAACGTAGGAAGAATGATGGAGGAACTAGCCTGCACTGCAGCTGCGGCGACACCTCGTCAAAAAATGTTTATGTTTACTCGATAAACTCCACTACACGCGCAAGTACTATTGCTGGGCTGCCGAATAGAGTGCGTTGAGTAAACAATACACAAACGTCCTGAGGTGCGAACCGCGCGAGACGTAAGCAAGAACGCGCGGGATCGAAGCACGGTAGCTAGCACAGTGCGTACACACAAGACAAGTCCGTATGAGTGTTTGATGTACGACAAATGCGAATCGGCGGTAAAGGCGTCCTGCCAGACGAACACTGTCGCTAAATACGGTCGTCTGCACAATATCCTCGGTAGTTCTTTACAAATCCGAGGAGTCGAAATTCCGAGCTGTCTCTGTAGCTGACACTTGGCATTGTGTTCGCGTCCGATAGCTGCTTGCCGAACGGCAGATCCTTCTCGTTCGCACGCTGCCCCGACTTTAATGCGGCGTTTCTCTACACACTTGCAACGCAATCACGACTGACCACCTTCTGTTTTAACTATTAGTTAGATACTTGTAGACGACCTCGCACCAGACCGCGACGATGTTTATCCTGCGGTGTGCGCTATTCGTACGGCGTGTCAAAGGACGCGACCGCCAACGCACTCCATCTACACCATCGACTATTTTGTATACCTAGTTTGGCTCCGTAGCTCTCTCCTGACCACCTAACTATAGTAAGATTATTTATAGTATACCAACCTAGATGGCTACATATATATATGCTTAAATTATGCTTTTCACGCCGATACATAGTATGTCCTAACTTACCTACAACATATTTTACACCTTCTATCCAGATATATACTTTTCAATTTTTACGCTTTTTATAGTCATTTATTTTTTTCTCTTATTTTTTATTTACACATAAGCTATTATAAAGTGTCATCTTTTTTACATTTCTTTTGAAGTACGAATATGACTATTCGCTTCATGTACGTTTTATCAGATAGATTTTTGATATGCCATTCGAAACAAAAGTTCCAAAAAAGCGGCGCTGCCGATCAATTTACGGAGCAAATCGAATATTTTCATTGATTATAATATTTTATAGACTTTTAAAACAGTTTTCAAACGGAACTTGACACAATTTTTAAATAGTTGTTTTGCACTAAAAAATATTCTGCTAAATAAAGCAACGTTTACATAGTCATACTCAGTAACCAATCAGGAAATCAGTTAGCTATATTGTTATTCCTCATAAGGTTATGTTTGCTACAACATCTGTGTAGAGATAGCCTGCGGCTCTCAGGCTGCAATATGGCAGTTCTAATTCTGGATAAAGTTTAATGAAATCATCGAAATTCGCTGAGCTTGTAACGCTCGGGATTTTAAAGTTAATCAGTTGGAATCATTTTATCGGTATGAAGCATGCGAGACCATCCAAAAACTAAAAAAAAAATGTAAAATCAGAATAGAACAATAAAGTGTAGTATTTATTGTGTTAAGCAAAGTACAAAATAAAAAGCGCATAATTGAAACTGCATTCCGATTGTATTACTCGAGTAGCATGACGTATACGTCCCTCCAATGCTCCTATATATGTAAGTACAAATACATTAATATGACAAATGCAGATTTTATAATTCTGAAGTTGATATTTCAGGTTAATTATAAAAATTAAGAACATATCCTAATTTTTTAAAGAAATATTATTGTCAAAGGGATATTTAGCTGATGTTCTAATTATAATTTGTCTCTGGTTGAAGAAAGTAATTTGTATATAATTATTTCAAAGAAAAGTTGAAATAATATTGATACATTTTATTTTTCTTATTATTTTTTTTAAAGAAAGGTGATATAAGTATTACAATGGCAACTGGTGGTGGTAGTTTTATTAATAAACCTGCAAGAGGTTGGTTGCACCCTGACCACCTTGTTAGCAAAGAAGGAATTACCTATGCAGTTCGTGTAAGTCTTATTTCATATATTTTTTCATAAATATCATTTTATGTTTAACCTACATTTACTTTACGTATTTTTTTAGTATATTGGGTGCTTGGAAGTTAACACATCAATGAAAAGTTTGGATTTTGAAACCAGATCATGTGTAGCAAAGTAATGATTATAAATCTTTTCATCTGTTGAAAAATTTACTTAATGTTTCTTTATTTTTTTAGAGAATGTATAAATAGAGTTTGTGAAGCTGCTGGATTAAAGTCTGCAGATAAAAAAAGACGAGTAAGGAGTACACACAGATAAAAATAAAATTTTACTTAAAAGCCAAGTTTCCATACTTATCTGGTTTTCAGGTTGATCGAAAAGTTTTAAGGGCAATCGCAGATAAACCATGCATGGACCATGCAGGAACAAATATAAATTTAACAATTAGTAGTACTAGTCTTATATTAACTGTTTTAGAAACTGGACAGGTTATTGCAAAACATGAAATGCCACGCATTTCGTTTGCTTCTGGAGGAGATACTGTTAGTATCATGACAATGAATTAAAAAACTTTTTTTTAATGAATAAATTTTTAAGTTTTGATAGAGTAATAACAAATTTTTATTTTAGGAAATTTTAGACTTTGTGGCTTATGTTGCAAAAAATTCTCAAGACTGGAGGGCTTGCTATGTTTTGGAATGTGGAGGTGGCTTAGCACAAGATGTCATATCTACCATAGGACAAGCTTTTGAACTGAGATTCAAAGAGTTCCTTACAAAACCCTCTTCTTTACAGTAAAGCATTTTATATTATTTAAAATTATGTAAGTTTGTAGTAATCACCAATTAACTAATTCATATGTACATGTAGTTCTTCGCTCAATGGATGCCTAAGAGAAGCTGATCGAGATTATTACAATGACCTACCAGGCAAAGTACCACCAGATATTGGACCACCTCCAGTACCACCTTTACCAATTTGTTCATCAACTTCACCAAACTTGAGACGTGCAAATACAGCCAATGCAGGAGCCACTTCTAGCAGCATCCAGAGTATTCCTCTTCCAGATCCATTAGGGAAAAATGCAAAACCATTACATCAATCGCCGGGTTAGCTTAATATTATTATTAAATGATTTTTAGTACATGTATTAATTTTTATATTCCTCTGCAGAAACTGGTAATTTGATAGATTTAAGTTCAGATGGTGGACTTATACCAAATACAAATCAGGAACATAATTATGTTAATGATACGGTAATAGCAGCAAGTCGTGAAAATCGACGTGAGCCTACAACATTTTTTGACGCATTCGACATGCGTATGTAAAAAAGATAATTTTTAGTCTATATATCTTCCATTACAAGTGTAACAAACTTGAATGAAATTGAGTAATTGCAGAGCCATTCAGTACAGCCATATCAGAACTGAATAAACTGAGTCCACAACTACAGAAGCAGCAATTGAAACAAGAGATTTGGTATCACGGTAGTGTCAGTCGCTCAGAGGCAGAATCTATGTTAACCCGAGTAAAATTTGCATTCAAATATATTATTTTTCTACCTAATTATTCAGCTTTTAATTTTCACTTGATTTAAGGATGGAGATTTTTTAGTTCGTGAATCGCAGGGTTCCCCAGGACAATATGTTCTTACAGGAATGAATAATGCGATTCCAAAGCATTTGTTACTGATTGATCCTGAAGGAGTTGTAAGTAGACTCATAACTTACTATGGAAACGAAATTTAAATATTCTTTTTGCCTATCTAGCCTCTAAATTTTTATACATTTGTTAACAGTTGAAATAATACGTTGTTTCACAGGTAAGGACCAAGGATCGTGTATTCGACAGCGTCAATCACCTTGTTAATCATCACTGCGACAACGCACTTCCAATTATTTCAGCAGATAGTGCTCTCGTTCTTCGATATCCTGTGCCGAGACGTACATCGTGTTAACTCTTTAATACATATAAAGTTTATTTCAATAGATTTTTTACAGTAGCAAAAATTCAATCAATCAAGTTAAAAAAAATATATCTCAAGTATGTTGCTTACTTACGATACTTTTGTATATAATACCTTTGTAGTATGTTCTTGTTAAACTCATAACGTATAATGTAAATGCACAAGTATTTAACGTCGAGAATCTAATTTAAAAGATTAAATTCGTTTTATGCGTTGACAAGATTTACCGAAATTTTTCAACTTGATTATAATGAAATAAATTTGAAATTTTATATTTTTATAAACAATCGATCGAATTCCATTGCGTACTACTTTTCGCGAATATATATAAAATCGATAAACGTAATTTTTAATTATTCATTTAACAATTTTTTAAATTTGATGTAACTCATGTTTTCTCTGTAAATTTTATGATAAAATAATATTAAGAAATATCAAGTAGTAATAAAACTTTTATTTTACATAACTTCATATACTTTGTTCTATCCTTAAAAAATGATTTTTTTACATAAATATCTTCATAAAAAATCTATCTACAGATTTTGGCAGCAGATTATTATTTTAAACAAGAAACATTGAAAGTTTCCTATTGCGGTAAGACGTCATCCTTGATTCAATCCAGGACCATGTAACTCAATGAAGCTCTCCAAAGAGCGAGGTACATTACCACTATACGACAAATTGTACGCTTTAACAGCTTTGGCTGCCATGCACTTTAATGATAGCTTTGTCTGCGTACGAAGAATTATTTCTGCAACTCCTACATATGAGCATTCGATCATTTGTACACAAAGAACATACGAAAATCGCTATATTTTGATAATTTGCTTTACCAGTGGTAGCAGCGTTGAAAGGAGTTTTTCCTTGACTATTTACAATATCCATGTGAGCACCAGCTTCCACGAGATCTAATATTATTGAGTGAAGCGTCAGAAAATCACTTATAGGCTTTTCGTATTGCACAATAATATGCAGAGGCGTGTTTCTTTCATTATCCATTGCATTCACATTGGCACCACATTGAATGAGTAATTTTGCAGTCGCCGCACATGGAAATCTAATGTCAATTATTCATTACATTAGTAGTTGAATTACTTGAACGGTCTGCCATTGAAGTTTATTGATTGTAAAGCATTTGTGCAACTCACTTGCAAACATCACTCGTATGAAAGTCGTCTACCGGTGTGTCCGCATTCACTGCTAAATGTAGCAAGGTTTGTCCATCTTTTAATGTCATTTGAAGGGCACATAGTTGGTGGACCATGTGGTGAGCTCGTCGAGTATCCGTCTCGTTATATCCTTTTTCGTTCAAAGTCATTAGCTTGGTTAAAATTGCTAAAATGTAGAGCGTTGTTGTTAGATTTGATTCGACTTCTTCCTAGAGTAGTGAACAAGAAAAATCGTCACAAGAATGGATGGAATGAAATGAGCGTGTAGAGAGCTGTTCGTACTAACAGATACAGATTGTTCGGAGTCATCTTTCAGGTCGGGTTCTACAAGTTTCTTTTGATTGGCGCCCAAGGCAACGACGCTTGCTTCCAAAACATTCAAAACTTGGGCAAATTTAACTTGCACTCCGACGTGTATCATTTGCGAGAAAACCTGAAACGTGAAGCGATAGAATCGAGCAATGAAGCGTCGCCTCCGTCAGCTGGTCACATACTTGAGCAAATCGTAATAAGTCTTTGGAAATGGCCATGTTGTTCAGTTGGCGTAGACTTAAAGCGTGTAGCCACAGATCTATGCAACGATCGAATCTTGCATTGTCCGCAAAAACAGCTCCCCGATAGATTACAGGCTGAGGCACGTCTGGATTTCGCCTTCCTTAGGTGCAGGCAGGAGCCATGATTATCAAAATAGTATACGATTGGACGGTCGGATTTTCGAATTTTCGGAAGCTAGGCTGTAGTAAGTATTCTCTCATACCAAGTATTCTCTCTCTGATGGTTAAGGACTCCATGTGAAGGGCATTGTGATTATTTTTGATAATTTCTAGCCTGTGCACGGTCTCCGATTCTCGCCAGTTTTCATAGGCAGGAATTGGCTCGGAGAGAAGCTTTGCAACAACGTTGTCTGGATCGGAAAATCTAAAAGAAGAGATCGCATTGGGAGGACGGCGGTGAGGTTGCGAGCGGTTGCGAGCGGCTCCGAGCGAAGACCTTAGCACGCGCCTACCTTAGCAGCATGGCCTTGTGCAAGTATTTGTATGCTTTGTCAAGACAATAGTGATCTTTGTCGTTGGCAAAGGAAGCGCCAAGAAGCTCGTAAGCTTCGATCGTGTCTTCCTTACTCACGTCTTCGTGCTCAACGAGGCACTCTACAATGTCTGCCCTTGCTCTTTCCGCTGCTGAAATTAAAGGAGTCATGTTTTTACCGCTTTTGGACATTTTCGCTCCGTGCTTAAGCAATGCTTTGACTACGCTATAGTGTCCGCACTCCGCTGCAAAATGCAAAGCCGTCTCTCCGTACTGAGCTTGCTCGTTGGGGTCCGCCCCATTGTCCAATAGGAAGCTGACCTGGCGTGTGAATAATGTTTTTTGTAGCAGGCACATCGAGTTCTAGCCCGAGACAGCCGAGGCTGCTGCCACAGAACAACTCACGATGTCGAGATGGCCTTTGTAAGCGGCGATCATCAAGCAAGTGTTGTTATTTTTGTTCGCCATGTGGATGTTGGCCTTGTGATGCGCCAAGTACTTGACGATGTCCAGTCTGCCGTCAAAGCAGGCTGCCCTCACGGGCGTCGAGTTGGTTTTCGTCGGGTGGTTAACGTTCGCGCCCGCTTTCACCAGCGTCTTCACCACGCTCAAATGTCCCACTCCTGCACATTTTCAATTGGTTCGGATAGCCATCGGTTGTTGACCCTCGACTCATTCTTACCCGCCGCGCACCACAAGGCACTGGCGCCCTCGATCACGTATCCGTCGAACTTGACTCTTGCCTCCTGCTCCAGGTCCAGTTGGAATTTTTCCAGCAGCATTTTCACCACTTTGTTGTGGCCGAATCTCGCGGCCGCGACGAAGGGCGAGCAGCACTGGCCGTCCGACTGCAACAGCTCCTGTAATCAACGACGAGAACGCGAGTAAGAGGCGATTGGCGCGATCGAATGGAGGAACGCCAGCGATATTGGCGACCATTCGAGATGTCTTTGTTGTCGGGGAGGCGCGCAGCGCAAATAAAGCTGGCTCGCAGCCAGAGCGCAACCAAGCTCTCGATCGGTGGACACGTATGGCCAGACACGTGCCTGGAAGCTCGCTTTGTTCGCGGTCGGACAAAGGACGTCGGACCGAGCCGCGTAGGTGGCTTACGTGAACGCGGGGCTGACCTGGCTGACGAGCCGATTGCCGATCTCGGCCGGCTGCTCGCTGAGCATCACGTAGAGGCACATGGACATGCCCTTCTTGGCAGCGAAGTAGGCTCGCCGCAGTAGCGAGCCGTCCAACTGCGCCTCCTCCTCCATCCTCGAGACGCTCGCGGCCACGAGGTCGGCGACGAGCGCTGCGCTCCCGGCACCGGTCACGGCGATCGTCGAGCTGGCACACTCCTCGCGGACGGGCAGCCCGGTCGACATGCGTCCGCGGCGCGAGAGAGCTCAAACAACACTAAAAGGACTGAAAGCGCGCGCGCGCGGGCGCGACGAGCGAAGGCAGGCGGGCGGCGGAGCTGCGCTTCTTTGTTCTCGGGCTGTGCAACCTGCACTTTTCCACGGCGATCCGTTGTTTCGCTAAACTGCTCGCGCCAGATCAAGCCAACGATCGTCATCGCGAATGGTCGAGCGGGAGGGGGGGGGGGGCGAGCGGCTCGGGTGCGCACAGCCTGCAAGAACCGCGACACTCCGTTTGCCGCTAAAAATAAGCTCGGCTTATTTTCGTGGCCGCGCGCGGCGGCTCTCGTTGCTCTCAAGCGACTCGGCCGCTTCGCGCTGCTCCCCTCCCACTTGTGATATTCTAATCGCAATCGAACGGCCATCGCGGCGGCCTACGAAATCCCCCTCGAAATAGAACGACAGTGCCAGAGATTAGTTGAGAGATAGCTGACCGTAATCTGCTGTTGCGCGATTCGGCGATCGCAGACACTCGAGCGGTCGAGTGAGTGCCCGTGAATTTTGCCTGCATTCCGTGTGCCTGACTGAGCGCCCTCTACTCATGCCAAAATCAAAGTCAAGATTAAACTGCTTTTGTTCTTTCCGGCTCGTTTTCCGCTTCGCTCACCTCTGTCCAATTTGGCCGTTTATCACTTGCTTGTACGCGAGCCCAAGAGAGCAACGCCGGCGGGACACGTGATCCGACGTGATCCAACCTCCATCTGATGATTCGAAGCGCCAGAGATACGGAAATACGCGTACTTACTCCCAAGCGAATCACCGCAGGCATTGCCTTCGAACGGTTTTTCGATTACGTGTGAAATGTACATCTAGTATACGACTGTTAATTTTAAAAAAGGACAGCTTGATGCATGGCGGAGACGCACTTGTGACCATCATCTGTTTATTTGCCGTGGGCAAAAAAAACGCGCAGTGTCGCAGGCAGGAGTGTTAGGTACGATACGGGTAGTGAATTCCAGATCAATAAACGAAAGGCCCGAATCGAGGCAAGGCATCTCTGGGCTCGAATCGTAGCGCTTGTGCGCGAGTTGTTGCGGATGCTGACTCAAGTGAAGCTAGGTTAGAAAGTTCTCGCTGCGTCATCGGACGATCGGCACGACAACCATTGAAAATAGCGAGCTCGCAGCGAAAGAGAGAGAGCCAATTGCCAATCAGCGAGGAGGAAGAACGTCGGTCGGCCAGGCTCACGCGCGTCCCGGCCCCAATGACTGACGTGACTGACGCCTGGTTCCAATAATAGAACGAGGGGACGAGCGACCAGATGGAGAGCGCGGCCAAAGGCGTCGAGTGGTCGCAGGAGCAGGCCTGCCGGAGCAAGCTGAGATTGGTGCGGGCACGGCGCGCGCGACGCCTCGACCAAGCAGCTCAAGGCGAGGCGCGCGGCCGCCAAGCCGGCCACAGCCACGGCCTCGAGCTCGTCGCCTCCACCACGCTGCACAAGGCCTTCGCGGACGTGTGCTTCTGCGACGCCACGCAGGTCGGGCCGTCGCCGGGGACCCCCCCCCCCCCCCCTCATGACCACCACTCGGCGCGCGTAGGAGTACCTGCTGCTGGACCGGGCGGTGGAGGTGCAGCGCTTCTCCGCGCAGGGCAAGCAGCTGCGACCCGCCTACCCGCTCGAGCCCTCGATGAGCTTCGGCCGGCTGCTCTGGTGCGGCGCCGAGGCCCAGTGCCTGGTCGGCTACGAGCCCGGCCAGCCGCTGATCTGGCTGCTGAGCCCGCGCTGCCGCGGCCTGCGCCCGGCGCTCGGCGGCGAGCTGCGCGCCAGGACCGTGCACTACGCGCCGGGCGCCAACCAGCTGGTGGTCGTGAGCGCCGAGCAGGCACTCACCTACCGCCTCGGAGAGGAGCGCGCGGAGCCGAGCGCGGCAGTTGCCTACGCCGACCCCGACTCCGGGCCCAGCTGGCAGCTGGACTGCTCGACACTGCTGGCCCCGGACGCAGGTAGGCCTGCGCGCGGCGCGCCGGCTCGCGGCTGCTGACCACGCGCTCTTGCAGCCTGGCCGGGCGGCCGGCTGGCCTCCTCGTACCTGAGCACGCTCTACCTGCTGGCGCTGCCGGCCGAGGGGCTCGCCGACGAGCCTGAGCACGGCCGGCCGCTGGCCAGACGCGCCGGCGCCGCGCCGGCGGCCATAACCGCGCTGCGGCTGTACGAGCCGGCGGCCTGGCTGCTCGTCGGCGACCAGCAGGGCAACCGTAAGTCGGCGCGGCTGCTCGAGCCCCCCCCCCCCCCCCTGTGACCGGCGCCCGCGCAGTGCTGGCCTACAACCTGGAGCTCGAGTGCGTGATGGCGCAGGAGGGCGCGCACGGCGCCCGCCTGGCGATGCTGCACCCGCACCCGACCATCCGCGGCTTCCTCAGCGCCGCCCGCGGCGAGCTGCGCGTCTGGAGCTGCGACATGCGCGCCGGGCTGGAGGCCTTCGGCGAGCTCGGCGGCGCGCTCGTCGCCCTTGCCGTCGCCCCCGCGGCCGCCAGCGTGCTCGCTCTCGCCGGGCGCCGGCTCAGCTTCCTGACCATGCACCGGCTCTACTGCTCCTTCGCGCCGCTCACGTATCGACTCACTCCCGCCTATTTGGCTCCCTTGCGCGTCCGCCCGCTTGGCCGGCGCCTCGGCTGAGCTCCGGCGCACGGCCCGGTTCTGCTGGGCTCTCCTCCGAGCAGTTTGCAGCAGCGGTCGAGCCGCTCGAGTTTCCGCCGAGGCCCGAGCACGCGTGCTTCTTCTCACGCGTGCTCTTTTCACGCCGCAGGTCCCCCGTCAAGTGCCTCACTTCAACGCAGAACCCCATGTACTCGACCAAAACCACCGTTGTAAGTAAAGACAATAGCGTAAGGATATTTTCTTCGGACGGCAGTCAACTGAGCGTTCAAATTCTGCCGGAAGAACCGTTGAATGTTGTATCGGCCGCATACTGCGGAAATGCAAGTAATGTCTCACCTGACCTTATTTATTCGAGTGACCAATGTGCATAAAAGGATATCCCCGCAGATCGATTATTTACGATTATCTCGGAAGCCGGCGAAATTCTTGTTAGCGATAGCAGCGCCTGCCCAATGAAATTCAAGTTGGTCTCATTTCAACGACTTGGCTCAAGTACGAATGAATGATTGAAAAATGCTACTGTTTTTTTACAAGGAGCGTATTCGTGAGCAGTGAAGAGCGGATAACCAGTATTGTTGGATACGAGATTTACGAGGAAATACGTAATGACGACGGTACCTCCAAACGTACGAAAGCTCCAATATTTTCGGATGTCCAAATAGTAACTCGACAGAGTCGCACTCACGCCAGCGTATCGATTTCTCGCAGGCAACAGAGTTTTCTATCCTGTAGGCATTCGGATCATTGCAGGAACAGACAATGGCAAGCTCATCGTTGTAAATAGCCTCACAGGAAAACACGAGTCGATGTGTTGGGTGAGACTTTTCAAGCAAGTTCGTCCAAGAGACGTTGTCGTACCGATTGGTGTGCGTGCGCGTGCGTTCTAGGCTCACCGTGGATCTGTGATGCAGCTGCGCTCGTCATCGATAAGTCATCGCCTAGTTTCCCTAGGAACTGATAAATGTGTCAAAGTTTGGCACATTTTGCCGGAGCTAGCGCAACCTTTGCACCTTTTTTACGACGTACATTTCACTTTAAGAATTAATCAAGTAGCCACTATGGGGTACGAAATCGTCATCTCTGTATCAGTAATGACACAGGGCTGCTCTGGCCCAAGTTTGCGAGTATCATTGACAAATGCTTTTACTTCAGGTCGATTCTATGTGTCGTGAATAGTTCGAAAACCGACAATGTGCACCAACTGATCATGTACCATATGAAGGAACGAGGTACGCTTGGATTTTTTATCGCCTAGTTCCTATACTGAATGTACGTAATTCGCCGAATACCATTTTCAGAGCGATTGGAACATCCTAACACCGATGATCACAGAGCACCAATTGTAGATATGATTACTTCGGAGTCGTTAAAAATATGCGCAACGTCGTCTCTAGATAATACTATTCGAATATGGAGTGATGACAATTGTCTTGTCAATGTGCGTACAAGTCATTTATTTTACCGCAAGCCAAACTTGAAAATCGAAATATATTTTTCTATTGTAGGTTTTGCGATTAAACCTTTGTGCATGGAGTACTGCATTCTCGTCGGTCAATGGAGACATTGTTTTTGGCGCTGGGCGACGTTTGTATAAAATACCTTATGAAAATTGTTAGCTTGACAAATAACCCGATCTACATTTCTTACCAAAGTAACGTGTGAATTGATTACCAAACCTATTTTAGATTTAACGCCATATTATCAAGCGAAAATGAGTACCACTGACTTATCCGAAGATGATTACGATGAATTAGTGGCTGAAGATTCTAAATACAGAATCTACGACAATGAAATCAACAGAAGCGCAATGCTGCATCCTGTTAATAGCTTGCTGCTTGCTTCAATAGATGTTTTCGATTCCAAAAATCCTCAAGTAGACCTCGTTCAAAAACAAATTTGTGAATTAATCGAGTCTCGAGATGAAGGTATGTGCAAAGTATAGAAGCAATAGCAATAGGGAGCAATCAGTAATTACTGTTTTTTTTTTTTTAGATATCAGAAACATCAAAAACTATCTTGTGACTTCGTCTAAAGTTATTACAAGTAGAGCACTTATGACTGCACAACAATGGGAAGAATACGTGAATGATTTATTAAGTAGTTTAACGCCAACTGTACCGCAACTACCAGAGTTTCAATTTAAAAGTATAGTCGAGACTAACTCGCAAGAAAACAAGGCGTACAATGAACCAGCCGTATTTCATATGCTTTTCGGTACGATCCTTAAATTAATTATTATTTGTATGAAAAAAAATCATATATTTATTTAAGTAACGATGTAGGCTACAGCTTGGACAATCTTCAGTACACCGAATGTTTAGCGGAAAAAATAATGAATGATATATTTCCGTTGCATGGATTCTTACCAAACTCGATTCTCTATAAATCCAAAGAACCAGAGATTCCTAAAGTTTACGAAAAGCCGCCAAAGAAAGAATTAGTGAAGTACAAATATCCAGTTGAATTTTTCAAAGTTTGTTCATTGAATTCTGTAGCTATTCTTTTTATTACTAATTTTATTAAACATTTGCCTAAAAACTAATCAATTTTAGAAATCACAAGAAAGCATTCTAGAAGCAAGAAAATCTATAAGACTTTCTCAGTTAGTATTGGTGGAAAGTAAAACTGACGAACAAGAAAATGCTTGAAATGTTTAACAATAAAATATTTAATTAATCAATATTTACAAAATTTTACTATATTATCAAAATCTTTGTATAACAATAAAAAAATATTTACAGCCTTATTACAATGAGTAATCAATTATTCTTCTTCTTGAATACATTTCTCTACCAGCTCTCGTAAATTAGGGTTCTCCATTGCTGCTGCAATTCTTTCTTTGTCATTGATTTGTTTATTTACTAGAATTAAATGTGGTTTATTAAATAGTCAAAAAAAATATCAATCACAATTGCATATCTTACTTTCTTGCTCGGTGGAGTGAGCACCATCCTTGATGTAAATATCTAATTTAAATAGAGCAAGTAAGTGACGTTCAAGTTTAACTCTTATACATAATCCAATAAGTGTAGCTAACGAACAATGTGGCACCGTAGGATTAAATTCTACTCGAATAACAGTTATACCTCCGGGTGTAGCCTCTTGAATTTTTATGCAGTCTTCATAAACAACATCCAACTGCTCCAAAGTTTGAGGTTTCTCTGGATCTTTTATTGTTCGAAGTAAATCTATAGTAAAGAAACTGTCATTAAAAAAGAGAAAAAATAAATTTAGTAATGTTTTAACAAGCATAACCTCTTAAGAGAAACTGTTACTTGTAATTGCAAGTTTCGACTGTAAATAGTAAAAGAAAAATAAAAAAATATAACAGAAATATATTATACCATAAATAGACTCTTTTAGCTCTGCCTCATCCTTAAACACTAATTCATCGTGATTTTTGGTTCTGACAATATCTTCGGCAGCTCCCATGTCGTTATCAGGCAGCAAACCATCTCTAATTTTGCCACCAATCGACAACTTACGAAAGAATGATAACATAGCTTTATTTCAATTACAGTTGAAGATCTCTCATATGCCGGCTCAGATGCACCTTTGGCAGATTACATAACAGAAATTTTACAATTAAAAATGATAATCAAGTGAAAGTCAAAAACTACTTCAGCACATTATCTTGGTGGCTCAGTACTTTCATAATGTATGTACATACATATGTATGTATGGTTATTATGATTACGTAGTAGTATAGGTATAGCTTTAAGCCAAGCTTTAACCTCACTGCTTTTTCAGAAACGTATATGCGCAAGCGCAATATCAAGCTTTAACTAAACTTTAAAGCTTAATTTAACTTTAACGTAGAATATGTATAGTCTGTTTGGGTTGAGTATGTATGTATGTACATACCATATATATACACGTGCGCACTTATGAATATAGAATATACACATATATGAACATAATTCTTGAAATAACAATAACAATTAATAATAATAATAATAATAATAATAATAATATAGCTCATTTATAAAATACGAATGTATATTTATAGCAGTAAACCTTATTTAAGCTAGTAATCATTGTGATTGATTTTAACTACGTGAATAATCTATAAAGAATACTAAAACTTTTATTATATACTTAATCTACTAGAGACTTTTAATATTTTGTTAAATACAGTATTAAATGTTTTTTTTTTTAATTTTATTCAAACATTTAACAAACAATAGGTCTTCTGTATATAAGAGATAAACTTCAAATACAGCATTCGTATAAAGTTGAAACCTAGTTCACATAATATTATGCAAGTAGTATACATCCAGTTTTCCACTACATCTATATTGAACTTGCGAGTATGCATATATATACATACGTACATATTTAGTAGCAAAAAATGGGGTCTGCAAATAGGTGGATCGCGACAAACAAATGTATTTACAAATCGCAATAAAGACAAAAGTGCTTCAAAGGCAAGTCCACAATGAGACGGCAGATTGAAGATACGCCATAATGTGTTAAATATCGTCAGAATTGACAATTACCGAATGATTTTTGATTGACTTATACTTATATATTTATCATAATTTTCTTAAACACGTTGCTACGAAGCGACTACAAACTACGTGCATGAAGCAGTGTAGGACGTCATGAAGTACCTAGCCTGTTTCACCAAAACGATTTTATCATAAGCAGTTTCTTTAAATATTAAAATCGAATGCGTTTCGAACGTGCGAGACACATAATCTCGTACATAGTTGAAGGTTATGTTAGTGTCCGATCCACCTAAGCGACTAGAGAGTAAGAGATAATGATGGACGGAGTGATTGAAAAAACCAAAGATTTTAATGAGCCAACGTCATTGACGAGGTATTTGCGATGATGTAAACAATATGGTCAAGAAGAATTCTTTTTAATACTTGGAGAATCAACTCACATAACCTGCCTTGTGACTTAATATTTACAAAACTATTTATTATGTGGATTTTATATAAGTAAGCTTATACTTTGAATGAGTCAGTAAAACAAGTATTGTATGATAAAATCCAAACAATTATATTAGATGGTTGTGATATGAAATTTATTATTGCTGCTTCAAATTATACCCAAGGTGGGTATTGAATTGATTTTACAATGGATGAGTGCAGAGTTGCAGATTATTTTGTTGTTGCTGGACTTCCAGCACAAGATGAAGTCAAGACAATTTTGACTACTGAAAATAATGAAGAAAAAAAAGAGAATTATGAGAAGCTTGAAGATTGGTGTCAAGAAGGAACCCACTTGAAAGATACTAATTTGCAAGCTCCCATCACTGATTTGGCTATTATTTTCCCAGCTTTTGGGGAAACCTGTCCAGAAGACTATACTTTACTCGAATATACTGTTACAGGATTCAAAGCAGATTTAAATCATGGTAGCTTACGAACTGATGAATGTTACTTATGTTACCGTAGAGGCAGAGATAAACCACCACTTGTTGATATAGGTAATTGGATTATTTAATTCTTTTATTTTCAATTCAATTAGTAAGCTAGACTAATATAACGTTAATGTTTTTTCAGGTGTAATATACGAAGGAAAAGAGCGAATTATGAAAGATGCTGAGATTGTAACACAAACACCAACTGGCTTAGTAGCCAATGTCAATAATTCTACGTCAAAAATATTTGTTACATATCGTAGAGCGAGTAAAAAGATGCCATGTAATTCTTTAGTTGTGACAGATGTGTGTATTATTTTGACAAATAAGGGAGAAACTCCACCTCATGCTTTTTGTGTTATTGGAAAAAATTTGAATAAGGGCATGCTTGGCAGTGATGTATTTTTGTGTTACAAAAAGTCCATGAACCGAGCAAACTTAATTTCATTCAAACCAGCAATTTTATACAAATATCCAACAGCTGATTACGATAGTTTTGGTTTTCCTAACTCAGTTGCCATGTTTTGTTTGCCAATGGGAGCCACCATTGAATGCTGGCCAAAAACTGCGAGTAAACCAAGGCCAGTTTTTTCAACTTTTGTTTTGACTGTAGCTGATGCTGCTCAGAAAATTTATGGATCTGCAATAAGCTTTTATGAAGAAGTTTTACCTCCAGATAATATAAGTGAAACTGATTACATCAAAAGTAACACAGATGTTTCAGAAGTAGAAATTGGTATGTTTGCAATATTGCATTTGTATTTATAAACATAATATCTTAATTCACAATGAAAATAAAATTTGACAGATGATGCAACGGAACCGTCCGAAATAATAACCTCAAAGCCACCACCCAAAAAGAAAATGTTTAAAAAGTTTGGTATTCTTGAAAAGTTGAATGAGACTCAGCTGGGAAAGCTACAGTATACCGATCCATCTACTCAGTCCTTAAATATAAGCAAATCCATATGTATTTTATCGCATTGGCCGTTTTTCGATACTTTCGAGCGCTTTCTCGTGTTTCTACATAGTCTTGTTAATCGCCAGCCACAAAATGTGCCTATCGAGAAATACATCTCGTATTTTCTTTGCGATATACCATTTCCTGGTCCTCAACGGCCTCGTATTTTGGTCCAATTAAGTGCTCACGATCACTTGATACTTACGCAGCCAGAGGATTTGGCTCTTCCACGTTCTGGAGCAAGCTTTCGTCAATTACTCTTAAACCTGGGTAAGTTGAGCATAAACATATTCAAGCAGCATACGCTCCAACAAATAATCAGACATCTATATAATGAAAAAAAAAAATCGTTTCAGGTGCGGATAACTGTATGTTAATTTTGTTGCTGACACTCACAGAACAAAAAATACTCGTTCATTCATTACGTCCAGATGTATTGACATCAGTCAGTGAAGCCATAGCAATGATTCTATTCCCATTCAAGTGGCAGTGTCCTTACATTCCGCTCTGTCCACTCGGCTTGGCAGAAGTGCTACACGCTCCTTTACCTTTCCTCATCGGCGTCGATTCGCGTTTTTTTGACCTTTACGATCCACCCTCGGACGTTAATTGTATCAACCTCGACACCAACAATATTGCCATTTGCGACGATAAAAAATATCTTAACAACAAATTGTTGCCCAAGAAAGCTGCAAGAATGCTCAAGAATTCTTTAGAGAAGTTGTATGCAAAGCTCATGACTATAAACAAAGATCATTTGCACGAGAAATCAACATTTTCCACTAATGAGAAGGATTTCAGCGCGGATAAGGAATTCCAACAAAAAAGAAAAGAACAACTTTTAGAGTTGGAAATACAAGACGCATTCTTGAGATTTATGGCGATGACATTAAAAGGGTACAGATCATATTTGTTACCTATTACAAAGGCTCCAACCGTGGGAACAACGGACCCGACTAGTTTATTCAATATACAAGCCTTTCTTAGAAGTAGAGATAAGAATCATCCAAAATTTTATAGTATGCTTGTTCGTACGCAAATGTTCATCAGATTCATTGAAGAGCGAAGTTTTGTATCGGACATGGACATGGCGGGCCTAGCTTTCTTTGACGAATGTACCGAAAGAGTGGAGGAAGAAAATGGTAAATGCGTAATTTTGAAACTTAAATTACTTGTACTATAATAATGTTTTTTTTTTCAAATCTTAGTTACACTTTTGGAATTGGATGAATCGCAGCATAGCGAAAGAACTGTTTTTATACCGCCCCCAGAGCCAGGACCAAATCAAACTTTTATAACATACGATACTTTCAAACTAGATTCTAAATTGATGCGGCCACAAAAGAATTTTCATTTGAAAAATCCAACGATTTGTACGCTTGGTATGGTACCAGGTAGCCCCATGGCACGCAGAACAAAACATGAAATTAAAATTGCCCAAAGAATGGCCCGTAAGCAGGTGTGTAATGATTTCGGTACTTTCACAAAATTGTAAATTATCACGCATGAAATTTACCAAAATTCCATTATCAGGCAGCTTTACCAGAACGATGGGGTCGTTGTTTACTCAACACGTGCTATAGTTTGTGGTTCTTACACCTGCCGTCAATGCTTCAAGTATCCAATCTGCCAGCTAATATTTTGCATCAAGCTTATGAATTACTCGTCAAAATGCAAAAGTTGCGTCTAGATCCCATGGAGGAGGTATGATTCATGTTTCGTGAGTCACAGCTTTTAACGATTGGTACTCATGACATGAATATTTCTTTGTAGGTTTGTTACCGAGCTATGATGCAACTTTGCGGTGTCTATGGACAACCGGTGCTTGCCGTTAAGTTACTTTTTCACATGAAACGCAGTGGAGTACAACCTAATGCTCTCACGTATGGATTTTATAATAAAGTAAGTTTTACGTAGTCCAAATTATAATAGTACAACTTTGCAATTAACAATAACATTTTTTGCAGGCCGTCCTGGAAGCCACTTGGCCTTCCGATATGACCAACTCGAGTCAGTTAATGTGGAATAAATTGCGTAATGTTATTGTTGGCGCAGCTCTGTTTAAAAAAGCTGGAAAGAAAAGTGCCAGGAGACGCCTAGGCTCACATAACGAAGCGATGCTTTTGCCTAATGATCTTAAAAATCAAAATTTAGAGCATGCAGTGTCCCGCTCAAGTCTCGATAGCACTCACTCGCAAGACACCGAAGCTGCTCATAGTGATTGTGTGTTAATTTTGTAGTGTCGAATAATGACATTAAACTTGAATTCGATTATTATTGAGATATGTGTTTACAGCCTTGAAAGAAAGCTCGATACCTGATCTACCAACTTTTGGCCTCAACGAAATGAAGAAACATCTTCCTCGACAAAACAGCATAGTCAAAGATATAGCATTGCTATGCAATTCGCAATCGGAAAATCTGAATCGGTCGCCAAGCGACCCAAGGTACTGCACACATTTGAAATGATCAAGTCCAACTATCGAACGGTAGTTTAATCACGAATAATAATTTAATAGGTTAGCGAGAAGCAATGAGTCTCCAGTCAAAAGTCCAGTAAGAACACCTGTCATGGAAAATGATCCTTTGGGGGCTTTAGCTAATGACGAAACGCCGATAGTTTCTCCTTGCGAAGAGAATGATTCAAATTGTTCGACAAGTACATTAACTGTCTTAAATAATGCGCTCGAGGACAGCCGTCCTGGCGGACCCTTATTATTTCGCAAGTACGAATGTGTTATTGTAACGAAGTCGAACCACAGGCGATGTATTTAATATGATTTTTTCTATCCAGTAACGCCACGTTGCCGCGAAGTGCAACTTTTCATCAACCAGCCGAGGAACTCGGAGGTACGAATGCTGCTAGTCATCTTCAGCGCAGTGAAACAATGCCACATTCAGTGCAACAGGCTGAACATGAAAGAGAACGTGAGCGAATCGAGTTTGGCAGTTTATGGGCACAGAATAAAGACAGTGTTACTTCTAGTTTATCCAGTATTGGCTCAAGCCTCAAACTCAGCTTCGGGTGAGAATTAATTTCAATCGTATCATAATTATGTAGATTGTATAATAACAGAGAGCAATAGATGCATTTTACAGTTCAATCAATGTTTCAAATTTCACTTTTGGAAAGCGTTTAATTTTTTGTTTCTAAATGATTGAATTGTAAAAAAAGTGTCTAGTGAATAGACATTGAACACTTGACTTTTATAAAAAAAAGTATTAAGATAGAACATATAGTCTTGAAAGTTTTCAATCAAAGAGGATAATTTCCTAGTTGGCCATGGACATCCAGGTAACAAGATTTTGTAAATACCCACTGATCATTACAATTTTTTCTCACATTAGATCTAGAAGCATGTCTTTGTATTTTTATTGATATTTTACAAGTTATTTTATATAATTTTTAATATTCATTACTATTTAAAAAAAAAATGTATCTTAAAATATGAATGTTTTTTAAATTATAGCCGTTAATTTGACAATGCGTATTAATATTACTCGCTAATTAATTTAATTTTACAAGAATTCCAACAATCATCTACTTCCCTTGCTATTTCATTTATTATGCACGTTTGGCTTGAGTATGATTTTGAATGTAGACGTTACTCAACTGGAGGACTCGCCTTTGGCAAAAACAAGGAATTGATATCGACAAATCAGCTGATAGAATCTCTCAGTCTTTCCAGTTACATAAGGTAAACGTTGATCTTGAATAAGAAATCATTCTTATACATATAGTAGATTTGCACATTTCTAGTTGATTTATCACGGTCAAGACGTGAGTAATGTACATTTTATTTAAATCGAAAGCTGTTCCATGCAAATATAAAAAATTAGCGTTAAATTAAGCAGACTATTTTTTAAATTGATTTGCATATTTCTTCGTAAAAAAACAATTACCTTACAAACATTGAAGATAAATAATGATAGATTATACTTGATACTGTTATATGTTCTGTTTGTGAACGTGTATCAAGACCATTTGCATGTTTTACAAAAAGTTCATAATAATTTTGACTGCGAATTGCGAACTATTCAAGTTTTATGTTTATTATAAATTTGCAATTGATATTCGAGATTTCCATATTTTATGCAAACGCGCACGTTGTGTTGACTAACTTTTAGAAAGATGGTATCTTAAATACGTAGAGTTTGAGAATGGCGATAGTTCTAAATGAAAGTTTGCTTTGATTTCTACAGTCCGTCGAGTCTTACTGGTAAAAAATCCAACGAAATCATCCTGGGTGGTTTGAACAGTTTGAAATCCGCCGTGACGTCGGTTGGAAAGAAGTTTGACGAGATCAAAGAGGCCATTTCAGCGACAAGCACACCCATCAAATCGAAGGAGCGCGAACAAAAGCTCGGTTACGGTGTATCTCATGAGAGTTTAGACTCGCTAACAGATGGCTCGCAGCAAGACCGCAACGAGCTTTCTGCCAGAATGGCTGGTAATTTTGACTACTTTATCCCTTTGTTCGCAATGTTCAAGTAATTATATAAGATTTTGCTGAATTGTAACTGATATACCTTAGCAAAACGCAAAAAATGGGATGTTTAAAGACATAAAAATGATGAGATGTAAATAATGACTATTAAGGAGAAACGAGTGTAGATCTTGGAGCGCTGTACGAGCTGGCTGAGTGCTTGTATCCAAAATCGACAAAAGAACAGGAGGAGCGCGTGGCAGTGGAGCTAGCACTGTCAAGTGCCAGTCGCTGTCACAACTGCTTAGCCATTCTCTACGACGAAGAAATTATGGCAGGATGGCAGCCCGAGGATTCGAATCTCAACACGACTTGCCAGTTTTGCGACAAAGCCACCGTTCCCCTACTAACTGTCACTATTTTCGATTACAGGTAGGTTCTCTTTCTGTTAATTCTGTATGATAAATATAATTCCGGATAAACGATTCGATTACTAATTGATGTTGCAACTAGATGCGAGGACGGCGAGAACAACCATGACCCATTGATGGCGGGCCTGTTGCAAAAGCCGCGCGAGCTGCCTGACCCAATAACCGTGCCCTACCTTAACCCGCTGGTGCTACGTAAAGAGCTGGAAAGTGTACTCGACCAAGAAGGCGATTCGTGTCTTACCAAGCAAAAGTTCATACAGGAACACCCGATCGTATACTGGAATCTCATTTGGTATTACGAGAGGGTCAATTTGCCCAGTCATCTGCCCGAGCTCTGGCTTGGAAATTGCGAGCGCAAAACCGATCCTCTCTCCACTTGCCCCACCGTTGGCGTACGCACGCTCTGGGACAACGAGAAATTGCACATGGATAGAATCCCCATGTATCTCCAGTGGAAAAATAACATCGAGGATCGAGCGTTAGTTTTCACATATAATTTTCAATGTCACTTTGTAACAACTGTTATTTCTTGTATTCTTTTTATTTAGTATATTCAGATATCACAAATATAGAGTCTAACAAATTATCTCCATAAATCAACCTGTCATTAAATTGTCACGTATTTCATTATAGGTTTATGCAAAATGTGATATCGTACGTTAGACGTAACGATTTAGCTGAGCCAATAAAACAAGTAGCATTGGAACGCAATAGAAATCGAAATGCCGAACAAACGCCTTTCTCTATTTATCGAGATATACTTTTCTTAGCTTTCATTGTTCTTGGAAGAGGAAATATTGATCAAGGTACGTTATAATTATTTACTCATTAGCATCAAATATAAAAAAAGATTCGACTAATTCTCGAATGCGTTTCACAGGAGTGTTTGATCGTGAATACTTGTTGTCGTTAGAGAAGTTGACGGAGGGAGAGGAATCGCTATTATGCACAATTGATGCTGCCCCTTCGCTAATGACGCTTTACTGCCGGCATTATTTCAAGCAACTTAATGTCTGATCGTTCTTGCACGTGATATTGAAATTCAAACTTGTGATGCTGTGCAATATATACAAGAAGCAAACAAAAGAGATGAGCTCTTCTGTCGATAATTGTGATCAAGTTTTGACCAATTTGATAAGGTTAAAAAGAGTAAAAACGAATTCAAATCACTTAAGCATATAACTTGAAAATAACTCACGTACAAGTTTATACAATGACGCCCATGATGATATCACGTTGTAAAGGAGTTGTACAGTGTTACGCGTAACGATGAAGTATATATATTTTTGGAAGGAAGCGACTCACCGATCGTATTAGCAACGCCTGGCCCGATAGAGAGACGAAGAAAAAAAGCGCGCACGCTCGCGATAGAATGACAACGAGAGGATGCTACGGGAATAAGCAAGTGAATCGTGATAAAATATAAGCTCATGTAAAGTCGATTTGGAAAAACTTCAGACGGTGATGTTTTTCTTAGACTATACAAATAAAGCAGTTGAAGTATTTTATAAACATAAGTTTGTTTTATTTCTGCTGGTTGTTCTAATATCTTAAATTTTATTTGTTAATGTCAGTGAGTATATTATTAGTTTGTCAACTTTATTAGTTTTCTAAAAAAAACTGAGATTGAAGAAAATGTAAACTATTACAACTGGATTCTTAAATATATAATTTGATTATTAAATTTTGATTTATAAACTTACTCAAATTCGTAATAAATACTATAAATGATTGTTAAAATATCAATTGCGAGCAGCAGAAGCCGATCATTCCCGATTTAATATGCTGTAGACGTTTTTATCCCTAGAAGTTTATCATTCAAGTTTATCATTGATTTGTAATTGGATTTGTAATGAAACACTTTCGTAAAAAGTATTTTCGTATGAGGAAACAATTTTTGCTAGCTTAATAGAATAAATACGCGTAATCATAAATTAATTTACAAGAAGTGCCGTTCCATAATTCATGATTATCTACGTCAGTTGATAGCGAAGCTTTTCTCGGCTTCTTTTTTTACCGTTTCTGTTATTGATTATGGGACACCGAGATAATTACTGTGTACTAAAATGCCGCTTTCTCTTCGAAACCATATATTGTCTGAGCATGTCACGGAACCGTTATTATCTACTTACATATGTTACATACAGAACGCTGTTATTTTTGTGCCTGTCTAACGAGTTTCTAAAGCACTAACACAAAAGGAAAAGGTAATAAAAATTAACTGCTAAATATACCGCACGAGTTTAACTACTGAGAAGCTGATTCTCCATTGAATTATCCATGTCTTTTTAACTTCTTAACACATTGGCAAATATATAAGTGATTTTATGAGCCTTATGAAAGTATTTTATTGTTTAAATGTTCTTTATAATTATTTACATATATATAAATTATGCTTGTTCAAAATTGACAATTTAGCAAATACAATGACTAGTTCGAGTAGCAAGCGGATGATAAACAACTTGCAAGAAGTTTTATATAATTTAAACGTGATTAATTATAGTTTCGTTAAACAGACATTGGAAAATTGTAAAGATTAAAATTATTTTCACTCCAATTCTACAAAACATTTTATTGACTACTCGTCGAGCAAAAATAAAAATCACTCACACCACGATCGAACACGTTTTAATTTCCACAAACAATCATAAATTGTTTATTTGTTAGATCGACTCGGTCTCTGTTGATTTCTAATGCTTTTTAATGCTTGATTCAAATACAGCTATACATTTTGCCGCAACAATATAACCGCATGCCATTTGATGATTTGCACGACTGAAAATGTTGCACATTTGAGTCTCTCTAGAGGAACGACGATTACAAAATGTGTTGATAATTATTTTAATACTTGGCTTAGCTATCCCAAGAATAAGATCACGTAAATGTTCTAACGACAAGTTTTACGCGCTTATGATTTCGACAATGGCGTTGATTATATACGGAAAAGCTTGCACGCATATCCTGTGTGAAAAAGAATAATTTCACGTTACGTTTTACAATGAGGACGCTGTAGCAACATGTTGCGGCTATCTAAGCATAACAATGAAACTTGAATGGATGTAGCGATCGAGTAACATTATTGCGAATTGAAATAAAGATCGGGCGGCGTTGTCATTTGGGAAATATGTTAAAAACTGAGATTCTTGTAGACAAAGTGAGGAACATTTGCCTATTCTGGCACTGCAAATAGCAATTGAAAAGCTGAAAAATTGACTGATGACAAAGCAGATTGGCAATGGATATTAAAGATTATTGCCCTCGTCGTCGCGATCATGTAAGTTGTGCAGGCGCAAATGCGAAATGATGAGATTGCGAGGAGAAAACTGCTAGATAAGAACTGGCTATTGCAGAGAATACTGACTGCAAGTAGAACAGACTTGAGTGAGGTGCTGTGTAGAGGAAGCCTATAGGCATTGTTTACGCAGCTGCAGACGTAAATAAATATCGCGCGTGCGAATTGAGAACTAGATGCGAGGCGAGGATGGCGCTGTGTAAGAATAAGGAAAGTGTAGTTAGGGAAGGCGAGAGCTACACTGTAAGACAATTTGGCGGGATGAGTCCAAGGCAGCGCGAGCCAATGTAGTTGACGAGCTGGCGCGGCGGCGGCGGCGGCGCAGCTCGCTGCACTCGCTCGCCCGTTAAATCAATTACGTCCCCGCAGCCCATTGGCCGACCACGAGCACGCCCCCGGGCTCGGCCCACGACGCGTGCCTGGCCAATCTCGGCAGCCTTGCCGGCCTATCTCGTCCGGGCTGTCCTCTGCTATCTGCTCCCGCAGCCCCAATGCCTATCGCATCCGCACCGCTTATATCCAACATTAACAACCCATCGCTTCGCCAGCTTTCGCTTCACGTTATTAGCCGCTCACCTGCAACCACCATTCTATCATTGGCTTGCTTCTCCAAGCGATACTTACTTTCTCGCTAATCTCCGCCGCTGCACGGCTGCATCTACTCCAATTTGATTTTTAGATATACCCAGCGCTTCTTCTTTCAATCGCCAATCATTAGCAGCTTACTCTTGTCTCGACGTGCTACAGCCTTATATCCTTCGCGCGCATGCTTTGCGGAGCTCGCAGATATGCATCACTCGCACTTAAAAATCGCTTGATCGAGTGCCGTTGCCTAATACTCAAATTACATTCTAAAAGTAGGCATATTCTTCATTGACGTTTTTATGGCAATATGCATTTTTACAGACTCAACCACAAATTAATTTCGAAGTATCTTTCATTCGTAAAATTCTTAAAAATCCTATTCCTTTTTCGGACGTACACCGCACTAATAATTATTTCGAAGTCCGTCACAACTGCTATTACCCATAAAACAACATGGGTGTCGGATAAGTTGGCTGTGCAATCATATCCATAAAGGCATCAAGGCACAGCAGTCCGATATAAGTTATGTGCAATAGTCGTGTGTAATTTCTAATGATGCTTGCATTTACGAAATACGTCTGCCAAGTATTGGATTTCCATGATAACACTATTACATTTACCAAATGTCATTTTGGCGTGAATTGTAGCGCAACATTTTCATAATTATTTTCAGGTCGAATGATTGTTGTGTGAAAGCAATAATATGGAAAGTGCAGAAGTCCGATGAAAGAAGTAGTGAGAAACATATAATAAGCGTACAATCACTTGTTTATTAATTGTTTTTCCTCGGTAATGACGGTTGATTGACGTAAATTATCCGCAATTGCAATGATAAATCGCACGGCTATATTATCGCCTGTATAATGAATTTCCGTAAACGCACTGAAAGCTAAGCTTGAGAGCGCATAAGTGGTGGGTGAAAGGGTACGATTTACGAAAAACGTACAAACAGTGATATAGTGACGACGAATATTTGGAAAACGAAAAGTTGACTTATCGAGCGAGGCGTGCGCTGCTCGGTCAAATACGTGAAATACGTGAAATACGTGGCGAGCGGCGCGACATCCTTGATCCAAGAAGAGCGTTCCGCGAATGACATTGTCGAACGAGGGAATAGCGCAGAACTATTGTCTGCCGACTGGCAAAGGTAGAGTCGAGCAGCGGGGGGTGGGTGGGGAGGGGGCAGAGCAGCGGAGCCGTAGGAGCTGTAGGACGGGCCGGCGACGCAGGAGGCGCGGCCAAGCGGGCCAGGGGGTGGCGCGCGCGCCGGGCGTGGCGGCGGCGGCGGCGGCGAGCGCCGGGCGCGCGCCCGCCGCCGCCAGTCCCTCTGCGGCCGCGAGCGCGCACGCTCCGCCGTCCCGTGCACCGAGGCTCCAGTGCGCGCAGCCCCGCATCCAGTCGCCCGCGAGACGCGAGAATGAGGCCCGCCGGCGCAGCCTGCCGGACGAGGCAGTGCGGCGCCGAGGCCGAGCTGTAAGTGGTGCCGAGCGACGGACACTGCGCGGGCCGCCGAGAGAGCGTTGCAGTGCGAGGCATGAGGCGCGCCGACGGGCGCGGGCCGAGTCGGCGCCCGACGGCAGGCCGGGCCGAGCAGCGCGCAGCGGCACCGGCGGCCTAGAGCAGGCGAGAGCCCGCCGCCGCGGATGCGATGCCGCGGCCGTCGCGCGACACCTATGGCGACCAGAAGCCCCCCTACTCGTACATCTCGCTCACGGCGATGGCCATCTGGTCGTCGAAGGACAAGATGCTGCCCCTAGCCGAGATCTACAAGTTCATCGCCGACAGGTTCCCCTACTACAGGAAGGACACGCGCCGCTGGCAGAACTCGCTGCGGCACAACCTTTCCTTCAACGACTGCTTCATCAAGGTAATCGCGAGTCCCTGCGCGCGCGGCCGTCGGCCCGACCGGTGCGCCCGACGAGGCGGCTGAGCGCGCTGTGGACGGCCTTGCGGGATCCGCGCGGGCGTCGGCATCGACTGCGGGAGCCGCTGCCGACGAGTCGCCAGGCGCTCGGGACAGCGCACGCACAACGGGTGCGCACGCGAGCCGCACGAGTGTGTCAAAGCCGCGCCGCTCGACGCGCCCGGACCCTTCTTCGAGGCTTTGCCGCGAGATGTCGACGCGTTCACGCGATCCAGACCTGTCAAACGGCAGGCTGCCGCCGCGGCTGGACTCGGACCCGCTGCCGCTCGGCAATAATTGGCCGAGCCACGCGATGCCCTGTGTCGGCTCCGTGTCGGCTCTGCGTCGGCTCCCTGTCGGCTGCACGTCGGCCGTTCGTCGGCGCCGGGCCCGCGCGCCGCGCGCCAAAGCCGTGCGCTTTTAACGCGCTCGTCCGGCCGCTCGTAAATCAGCGGATAATTGCACTGCTCGCCAGCCGTCGTCGAGCGTCCGCGTATCGACGTCGCTGACGCTCTTGCGCTCCGATTCGGTCGGCTCGTCGATACGCGTGTGCGCGGGCAGCAGTCGCGAGCGCCAGGCGGCTGCTAGGAAGCTCGAATGGGGGCCGCGGGCCGAGCTTCGTCCAAGCGAGACCAACCTTACGCGATGTCCAGACGCTGCGAGGCGACGGTGCAAAGGGCGAGGTGTCGGGTGCTCGAGTGGCCGAGGGCGGCGAGCGCTCGCGTGTCGCGGCGGATCGCTGGGGGGGAAAGCAGACGCGCCCGAAGAGGCGCCAATCGAACCGGACTCGAGTCGGCAGAGCGCGAAACGCAGAACTCGGCTCGGAGACGGCGCCGAGCTTGCACGACTTCGCTCGATACGCGTGCGAGCTGCGTGTCCCGGCGATCGAAGCCGGCCGTCGCTCGGCTCTCCCGTGGGCGCGCGCGCGCCAGCCGGCGTCGTGCACGCCGCTGTCGAGCGCCGCACCGAGCACCCTTGCGACTTGCGCGCCCCTCCAGTTTTTCGCAGTCTCGCGACGAGGCCCGTCGTGCTCGTCCGGCTGGAAGCATCGCGAGCATCCGCTGTGCGCCGGCAGGCCCCCGACCTTCGCGCTGCGCGAGCTCGCCTCCCGGGGAATGCCGCGAGAGCACCCAGGTCGCGCCAGACGTCGACTGGGACTGGGCATGGGGGTAGTCCGTTTGGCAGCGGCCCCGACTGGACTCGGCTGCCGTTGGTGCCTCCACGAACGCGCTCCGTCTGATTTTAATCGATCCGCCTTGCGTCGCGTGCGCCCTGTCCGCCTCGACGGCGCTGCAATTAACATGGCGACGCGGAGTGCACCGGAGCTGTGCGTTTGCAACGCAGCCTGCGATCGCAACAGCAATACGCGCTCGCGCTTGCGCAGATGGTCGCGATTGTCCAATTTTTCGTAGCGCCCGGCGCTCGTCGAACGGCATCGTCCAAGTGCGCGCGTGGTCGTGGGCTTTTGAGCGGTCGCTCGGCCAACTGCAATCAAAACACTGGCCAAGCTGCGCATCGCGTGGATATCCGGCAGTGTTGTCCAAGTTAGGAAGCGCGGTGCGAGCTTGCCGCGGAGACGAGCAGGCATTGAATCCACCGACTTCACGGTATTCATCCCGACGAATGCACGTCGATAAAGCTCCCCGCAGAACTTGAATTCTCGCGTTCGTTCGTCGGCCTGTCTCACGTGCGCGCAGAACGCACCGGATATGGAAATGAGGTGCAAGTCGAGACGAAAACGGGAGCACTTGGCGTAATTAGTTTTTCAATGAACTTTCAATGCGGAATCATCGAGCTGCGGTTGCATCGGTCGCGAGATAAGATAAGCGGCCTGGCTGTCGCGGCTAGCTAATGCGAGCGTTCGCATCGCTGTACAAGCCAATGGCGCGACAGCTGTCATTGTCCACGGCGTAATTGTCATTAGAGGCGCAATTACCTTGGCCAACCGATCGTATCGCCCGCAGCGTTACTCATTCCGTGCGACTCGACGTTGTTGACGATAATTAAATAACCCGTTTCCATTAGCCATCTTATTTGCTCAATAGATTTTTATTTTCAGCCCTTCCATTTTCGCCATTGCGTTTCGCAACAACTATCCATTATATTTGTCTCTCGGGCTTGTGCTGCTTGTGCTATTGGCTTTACACTCGTCAGCAAACAGTCGTGCGATTTCCGCTTTGTCCGGACAAAAATTGGTGTCTTTTTGTAGCCGTCACTGGTTTCTTGCGATAACCTGTAGTCGCCGTATACTCGTCCCCTTCAGTGCTATGCTTGGCCGGATCGACGAATAATGAAAAGCTCGCTTCGCGGCAAATCAAGAAAGGTAGTCAAAGTTGGCGCCAAATTTGTTCGCTATAATTATTGTGCTGTGCAACATTCTTTGCCGAGCGTCTGCGCGCAAGAGAACAACTGCATTTTTCATAATTTATAACGATCCGCTTGTAAAACTTGTACGGCCGAACAATTGAATTTGACGTATGAATCGATGGACTTAATTATACTAGGACGACTTTCATTGATCAGTTTCAACTTGTAATACTTGGATGTTCACTAGCGATGAAAGATAAAGTTACTTGTCAGAACTGGACATTTGGACAGTTATATGTTTTCGTGACAATTATTCGATTTGTTGTGTGTCGTAACACTTGAAAGTCAAATGGAATTTTCTTAAATCTTACAATTGTGTTTAAAAATTACGCGTAAGGCGATTACTCTTCTTGAGAAGTTTTTTCTGCGCTTAATTGTTTCAGTCAGTCGCACCTTTAATTTTGATGCCTGTCAACGGGTTAAATAAGTTGAGTTAGAACGACACAACCTCTCTTTATTGCCTGAAAGCAGAAAAAATTCTATAGATTTTTCTTTGAACTTGGCTAGTTTTCGTTTGGCCTCCACCGATTCAGTAAAAACATTATGCCTCAAAATTGAATCGTATTCGTTTGCTTTTCCCCTTCATTCTGATCATTCGGAATCACAGAGTCATCTCTGGTTAGTGGGTCAACATGTAGAATAGCAAAATTTCCATTTTAAACGGCGAAAGTTATCGTTCCGTGTAGGATTTAAAAAAAGGCTAAAGAGTGACTTGAACGTGTGAGGTCGTCTCGTGTTTTTCGCCAATCAATTCTCTATTTCTGACCCGACGTAGCGGGACTTTAATGTTCGCCTTAAAGTCACAAAGATCTACGCGAGATTTGAAATTTCAATTCTCGCAGCAGCTTTCTTGACAGAATATAAAAGCAATTTGTACTTTGAATCGCTGCACTGAATATGCGTGAGGCACGTGTACAAAAACTGACTGAGCAAAAGCGGCGCGTATCCATGACGGCGAGCATCTGGCAAGGTGGAACTTTGACGAGGTTGCACGTGAAGTGGGCGGGCTGGGGTGCACGTGAAACGTCGATAACGCGTGACCGATAGCTGGGAGCTTTGCGAATAGCGGGTCGGTCAAGTTGACGATGTCACATCCGGTAATTGCGGGCTGCAGGCCGTAGGAGATTTTGAAAAACGTAGAGCGGCGCAAAAAGAAAATTTGGCACGGAAAAACTCGCGGGGCGATTATGGGTCGCGCGACGAGACAGTAGAGAGTTTGAAGCACAAGTTTGCTACGCGAACAAGTAAGAGTTGAGCTTGGCAGAGTCGTTAATGAAGCATTTGGCGCGAACGCTGTATCCACGTTGCCGGGGCTTTCGTAACAACTCCAATTTGACGTCGGCTTTGATTAGCTGCGCTTAGCGGCAACAGGCTCGCGCATTGCAGCGATTGATTTAAGCGAAACGCCGTAAAGCCAGACGAGCCGTTACGCGCCTCTGAAAATACGATCGAACAATCGCGCTCGCGGAAGAGCTCGCCTCGATCGGCCCCAGCTCCCGGCGGCCGCCCGACGAACGGCTGACTGATGCGGCCCGCGCGGCCTCTGTTGCAGGTACCTCGAGGGCCGCACCGCCCCGGCAAGGGCGCCTACTGGGCGCTGCACCCGGCCGCGCTGTCCATGTTCGAGAACGGCAGCCTGCTGCGCCGGCGCAAGCGCTTCAAGCTGCACAAGCCCGACAAGGACCTGCTCAAGACGGAGCTGCAGGCGCTGGCCTCGGCGATGCCGCCGCCGCGCCCGGACCTCGGCCCCGGCCCCGGCCCGGGACCCGGGCCGGGGCCCGGCCTCGGCGCCGCGCCGCCGGGCCTCGAGGCCCACCTGGCGCCCGCGCCCGCCGGCGGCGGCCTCAGCCCCGGCAACCTGGCGCGCCTGCGCGAGGACCTGCTGCGCTGGGAGATGCAGGAGCGCCGCATGGCGCTGGCCTCGGCGGCGGCGCAGCAGGGCTTCGTCGAGCAGCCGCCGGCGCCGGCGCCGCCGCCGCCGGGGCCGGGCGGCTTCTACGCGGCGCGCCCGGCCGACGGCCCGGAGCCGCCGCAGGCCGGCGCGCCCTTCGAGGCCCTGCAGGCCTCCTACGGGGCCTTCTCCTCCTTCGCCGCGGCCTACCTGTACCCCGGCCCCGCGCAGGAGCTGCACTACTACGCGCTGGCCGCGGCGGCGGCCTCCTGCCCGGGCCCCGCGGCGGCGCGCGGCGCCGAAGAGGAGGCGGGCCGCTTCGCGGCCGCGGGCCCGCCGGCGCTCACGGGCCTGGCCGGCGCGGCGGTCGGCGCCGGCAAGCGCGCCAAGAAGCCCTTCACCATCGAGAACATCATCGCGCCGGACGAGCAGCCACAGGCGCCGCAGGACAAGCGGCCGCCGCAGCTGTCGGTGCCGCGGCCCGTGTACGCGCAGGCGGCCTTCCCGCTGCCGTCGGGCGCGCTCGAGCGCCAGCGGCCCGGCTACCCGCAGGCCACCTAGCTCTGCAGCGGCGCCGACCGACTCGTCCAACTATTTGTAAATGTAGAGAGCGACCGGACAGCGATATAAATTATTGTACATATTTGACTTCTAGATCGTATAAAAAGCCGAAAATAAATGACGATGATAAATACGAGGCTGAGCTTGGCCGTTCATTTTCCATGCACTCTGGCGGCGAAGACGCGGCAGCGTCGGGCGTCGCACGAACCGGCGATCGGCGGTAAGTAGGAAACCGTCGACGGGCCGACGAGCCGACGGGCCGACGGGCCGACGGGCAAGCGGCAAAAAGGGTGGCAAGCGGGCAGCAGCGCGCCGGATCGCCGGATCGCCGGATCGCCGGATCGCAGAGACGCAAGTCATCGACCACCCCGAGTAGCTGATCTGATTGCGTGTAACAGGCCCTTTCTTCGTCGACTTTTTCGAATGCCACGGCTGCTGTTCCGCGCTCGCCCGCTCCTCCTGCTCCCCCTCGTCTTGCCGTAATTTCATTTTCTCGCCGCCGAGGCGTGTCGGGCCCTCTTCGAGCTTCGTTAATTAAATTTCGTGCGAATAAAAAAAACCGCATCGCCGCGCGAGTCAACGATGAAAGTCCCGGATAATCGCGCGCCGCCCGGTGACGAATCGATCAAAACGTTTTCACCGGCGCGCCTGCCTTTTTGTTGGACTTGGTCGCGCGCACCAGACCAGTGCCTTGGCTTTCTTCTTTGCGCCCGTGCCGCCCGCGCCGCTGCTTTCTTCGCACCCACTTCCCGCGCGCTAGTGGCCGCCGAGCACCGCGATGACAAGCGAGGCAAGCTCCTCTTTCCGAGTCCATCGCGGAGCAGCGTCGGCGAATAAGACCCGAGGTGGCTGGCGAGAGCTGCGAGCAGGACGAGAGGACCGAGCGAGCAGCAACGAATCCAGAGGCTTATACATCGTAAACAGACCGCCGAAGCTGGCATAATGTCAAGATTTAATGCAGCGAAGAATGGAAAAAGAGGCGCTCATTATACACGCGTGTTCTCGGAAAGGCAAAGAGCCAAGTCGAATTTTTTATGAACTGGCTTTCTCCGCGCTCGGCCGAGAGAGCGAGGCTCCGCTTAAACAAACTGAATCGCCAGCGTCGTAAACAAGCGGATTAACGCGAATGCTAGGCGCGCGGGAAACGGATGGCGGCTCGCTGCCAGTTGGCGTCCAGCGAGCGCGTCCCGAACGCCCAATGCCGCGACGACGGCCGGCTGGCTGCCGCTCGCGCTCGGCGTGGATCAGCGGATTAACGATCGCGCCTCGGCGGCCCGACGCTAATGGGCCCCAAACTACTCGAGCGCGGCCAGCCGAGTGCGCGCAGTAGGCAGCTCGATTAAAGAGCCCGAGGAGCGCCGCCGTCTCGTGAGCAAATACGCCTCGTCCGAGCCCGAGTCCTTGGGCATGCATCGTCGATCACGCGGCTACTCCGGCTTCCGTGCGACGCGCACTCGGCCGGAAAGCGCGGGCTCGCGCCTTGACACCCGCTTTCGATCGGCCGCGCAGCCTCTCCTCGGTTCTCGGGGCGCCCAAGTTCAAGGAGCAGCGAGCGAGCGGACAAGTGGCGCAAAGAGCCGAGGTGCCAGGCCAAATCGATCGCCGGCTGCGAGCGATCCGCCTCGCGCTGTCTCGCTCTCTCGCGCTTCGCGCGCCTCGGCTCTGCGGCTTGGGCGCACTCGAGAGCGGCGGAGAAAGAGAGCGGGTCCGGCCGCGAGGAATTCCATCCATCAAGCTGCGAGGTCTTCTAGCAGCGGCGCGTTAGTTATAGTGCGCGCGCGCGCGCGCTCGTGTGTGCGTGTGCGCGTGCGCGTGTGTGCCGCCTCGGGGCCCGCAAGGAGCGGGCGGAGGGGCCGCGGCCAGGGGGAGGCTCGGGTGTTGATGACCAGACACGGCGGCGGCGGCGGCGGCGGCGGCGGCGGCGGCGGCAGAGGCTCAAGGCGGGATGCCTTTCATCTTTTCATCTCTGGCTGCGGCTCGCAGCCAGCCTCCTGCCGACTACGTGCTCGGGCGCGCTCTTCTCCTTTCTTCACACCTCCTCTCGGTTCGCCTCTCGCGCCAGCGCTCACGCTCTCGTGGGCCGCGAGTGTGCGCGCGCTCGTCGTCACGCCGATAATCGATGTCAGCCGCGCTGTTCGCTCTCGCGGACCATTTGCCAGCGGATCGCGGCCGCGAGTGTGCGTGTGCATCGCACACCTCGTTAATCGGCGCCTCTCCGCCTTCGTCGCGCCGCGTTACGCCGTCGTTACGACGACTTTACGACGCGAGCTGCTAAGCAGGCCATTTAATTTGCCTGGCAGCGCTGCCGAGGCGCACAGGCGCTCGTGGCAGTCGGCGAAGCCGCCCGCTACTGCGCGACCTTATTGGCCGCGAGAGGCCCGCGCGCGCGCGATCGCGAGGCCCGGCTTTTTACTCTGCTCTCGGGGCTCTGGCCAGTCGGAAATTAATTAGCGAGCGCTCGGCTAGCCGTTTGATGCCCGAGTTGCGAGCCGCCAGCAGCAGCCAGCCAGCCAGATTGAGGCTTCCATATCTCGCGCTCGCTCGCTTGCGTGCAGCCCCCACGGAGATGATCAGCCCAACCGGTTCGCACTAATTTGCGGATAATGGCTCCTTTGCCTCTCTCGAGCTTCGCTCCGCACGCTTTTATTTGGAAAGCGTTTAATCTAAGTGGAGGGAGGCGTCAGGCTATATATAAACGCCCCGCGCGCTCGCCGTACATGCCAGCTTTAATCTGCAACTGCTATTCAAATTCCAACGGCTTTTCGGCTCGCAACTCGCTCCTTTGCCGTTGCCGAAGCCTCGTTCGTTTTCCTCTAGCCAAACAAACAAAGCGCCGCCAGCGGATTCAATCTCGGTTCACGGATACACCGGCGTCGTTTAATTACACGGATCAATCGCGCCGCCAACGCGCTCTGGCGGTCTTCTATCGCCTGTCCCTGTAGAGAGCTCCTTTGGCCGGCGTCCTCTCGTGGGCACAAGTAGAGCAGAAAACAGATCAACGTGGAAAAAGTAGAGCTCTTCGGTCTTCCAACTGCCCACTGCTTTGGAGTCATTTGCAAGTTGCTTAATCGTTGGACGGCGGCGGCGGCGGCGGCTCAACGCTCGTCGATACGTTCTCGGATCTTTCTCTTTTTTCTTCGTTTGTACGCTTCTCCGTTGAGCTTCCCGAGCACGGTTAATGGCTCGAAATCAAGGCGCCACACCGACGATTACGGTAACAAGCTTTCGCACTATACACCATTATTTACGAGCTGCGTAAGCCACCAAAGTATTAGAACAGTTGCTTACACTGTCGCTGTTCGCTGTTGTTGCGAGTGCATTGCGCATACGTGCCTCGCGTTAACAACCTGGCTACGAGTTGGTGGCGCGAGGTGGCCCCGGCTGCCATTATGCGGCGGCTTGTGTGCGTCCAAAGTCGCGGCTAATCGCGCATAACGCGCTTGGCCGCAAAAACCGTCCGCGGCGCGTACATTGTAATCGCGAGATTGGCTAGTGCGCGCTTATCCGAATGCGCCTGCATTGCAGCCGGTACCAGGCCCGACGAACGCCGAAGCCCACGGCACCCACGGCAGCTGCGACACTCGGCGAAGCGCGCGCGCGCGCGGCGGAGGCTCGCGTAGTCGGCCGAGCACGAATTCGCTCGTTGCGGTCGCGGCGCGTGCAGGCGAGGTACAAAAGGAAGGCCACTCGCGCCCGGCGACTGGCGACGGCCAGGGGCGCGCGCTCCGGCGAGCCGGCTCTTACGAGGCGCTCTCGCTGCATCCAGCGAGAAAGCCACCGCGGCCCTGGCAAATTGTACGCACGCACGAGGCGACTTCCGGATGCAGATTGCACGGTGGGCTTGCCGGAACAATGCGCCGCTCTTGGCGCATCGCTGTAATAGCCGCTGTGCCGCGCTCGCGCTCGGGCATCAAAGGCACAGCATGGAACGACGACGAGTCGACGCGGGCCCGGTTCGGCGCTGGCGGAGATTGCATTCCGAGAGACCAGTCTGCAGGCACGGCCGGCTCGCGCGAGAGCGGAAGTCGAGGGCGGAGGCAGGCGCAGGCAGGCGGAGGCAGGCCGAGGCAAGCGGACGCGGCAGCTAGAGCCTTCCTGCCCTGCCGGCAGCTCCGTTTCCTCTCCTCGAGCTTTCGCGGAGCGGCGCTGCTGGGAACTCGCCGGCAGCGAAGCTCGGGCGCCGATCCGCCAGCGACGATAAACGCGAGAAGAGAAGCGGGCCGATTCGCGGAAAGCTCGGCCGCGCCGCGCTTCCCTTCCGCTGCCCCGGCTGCCCGGCTCTTCGCCGATGAGCGCTGCCCTACAGGACTGTGGCTCCAGCAGCCACAGCCAATGGGGGCCACAACTCTTCTGCTCGTAAAAGCCGTTCGCTGGAAAGCGACGCCGCCTCGCACAAGGGCTACTTTGCAGAACGAGCACTGCAACAAAACAAGCTTCCAACGCCAAGTCAATAAAACAAATTCAGTCGTGATTGTTAAAGTCGTAAGAAGCACTGTTACGCGAGACCCCACTGTGACGGCACATTTCACCCTATACTGAGCGATACAATCACCGCCATATAATACCCACGTACCATTAACTTCAAACATATGTAAGCGACTCTGAGGGGTTCTATTATTGCTCAGATGAATGCGCCCTCTACTTCCGCTAAGGCTCTTCTATTCGGAATATATTACTACACAGAAATATGCTTGCACGCATTATACTCTTCGCCTTAGTGTAATTGAATAACAATATCATCCGTTGCTAACCAATTTACGATATCTGCGAACACCATTTGCGAACAATGCAATCATCAACCAAATTATCGTGTTTTCAAACTCGAGTATCGCTCTTCTAGCTCATTTTCACCCATTTTTAAAGCCGAGTTTTATCGTCACTGTACAGCAGCATTTCCGAATTCTATATTCGCAATTCTTCTCTAATATTCAGTTCACTCCTCGTTAGCACAGTCCAAGATCGAACGAAGCAAACTATTTCTGATACTACTTTTTCATAAATTTTGCGCAAAGTAACAATTGTCCCATCGGTACATATATATAAACAATACTAAGAAAGACCAAATTGTTCTAGGTTCTGTAGTTTGAAAGCAGTACGGTAACATGAGCTCAGTTGCTGAATTTATCAAT